CGTCCTTGTTACTAGCTTGGTGTGGCCGAGGCTCCGTGATTCTAGAGATCAATGGTGTGAAAGATGATGCAGACGCCATGCGGCAACAGCTGGAGGAGACGGTACTCGACACAGTGTTCCGGATCTGGAGGGCAGATGGGGTGCGGATGGTGCCCTGGGTGCTGGTTCGGTTTGGGGGACCGAAGGAGCAGCTTTTTCTTTCAATCAATCACCTTTTCATCAGAATAGAAGTCCGCAAATTGCCAGCTTCAGGGTGTCCTCGACATGTTCTGAGGTTTCTGAGGAGTTAGATGTGCACGGATCTGAATGGTCCGACTGGGTATGCGGACGAGCATGTGAACCTGTGGATCGAGCAAAGCTCTTGTGGTGTTGCGTTCATTCTGACTGTGTGTGTGTTTGTGTCTCAAGCCGCACGAAGATTATATGTGACCAACTTAAGGAGCTGCGCCAGGAGTGCGAAGACGCAGCGACACATTGAAACTCCCCCCGGTTTGTTGGGTCTTCCGCCTGTCAATTCCCACCCCTCAAATAGCGCTTCCCATGATCAGCTGGGAGGATTGATTCGCCAGTCGGTTCCGACTGTGTTTCACGTCACTGGAGGGTCCGACCCTGGTCCAGTGCACCGTCACTGGAGGAGCCCATCCTTCACTTACGTGTGCGGCCCGCTCGCGGCGCGTGCGATGTCTTCGGGCGGCGCATGGGAGCCGCTTGGGCCCATGGGGGGGCGGAGACGGAGGTCGACACGTATGGCACACGGAGCGTAGTAGATGCCTTTGTTACTTGTAGCTTCTTGGTACTACTAGTAATGCCCTTAGCTACTAGATGCTACTAGCGTCCTTGCTACTAGATCAAAGGGTCCTGTGGCCTTCGGGTAGTCATGACTCATGACATGTCATGACTGATCAACATGGTAGTAAGAAAGATGCTGTGGTTCGACAACCGCTAGCTTAATACAATGGATGGACCTTACAAGACTTACCAAGTGTTCATCCTTTTTCGCTTGGAGGCTGCATCCCACAGTCTGCTCAGACGCTCCCAGAGTTGAGATCCCTGGAAACATTTTCGGATGAGCCGACACCGAGCCTTGAACGAAGAACGACATCTTAGTGGTCATGATTGGATGCCCACATGAAAGATGTTGGAGGTTTACAGGGAGTTGCCAACTCTCCTTTTTCTTCAGACTGTAGCCACTTCTTGGATAACTCGTGAAAATCCATCGTGTGGTAAGGCATGACAAGGACTTTGCTGCAGAGACCAACAAGCCAATAGTACTTACTCCGGGTGTTTAGCTTATAGAGTTCGTCAATGTTTTGCTGCCTGAGCATTTTCCATCCATATATAGCACACTAATTGCGCCTTTCCTTGCGCTGCGCCAAGGCACAACCTGCAGTCTTTCCGCACGCCGAGACTTGAGCAAAACTCTTGTGGTAGAAGACTTGAAGAGGGATTCAAGTGGGTGCAGTTGCATGCTCACCCAAGATGTTAACATGTAGTTGCACGAAGGTCTTGGCAAAAACCATCAACGAGTCAAACCTGGTACTGGCGGCCGAGGGGCTTTTTCTTTGTCTAGACTGGCATGTTGATAAATTGTTGTTCAACATTGCTCAGGATTGCTCGGTCGTGCTTTGTACATCAAAGGCGCCACCAAAAGTTGATTATATACTTAACAGCGGCATCGCTACTAGCAACAAGGGCATCGCTACTTGATTTTTGTCGATGTCAGTTTCTGCTGATCAGTGAACTACTTGGGCTGGTCGAACGAACGAATCACCAGTGTTGAAGTGATGAAGGTGCTCCATGAAGGTCTTAGGAGTTTCAGCAGAACACGCTTCACCAACACCTTCAACTCCTGCAAGAGTATGTAGTGCCTAATGAAGTGTGGCGCCCAACATGTAATTAGATGTAGATCCTTTATTAAGTTCACATATATATATATATATGGGTTGTTCGATTCAACAAAAGGGTTCGCACATCTGACAGGGTCAGTACATATCAGGGGTAGATCATATATACCGAGGGATATATTTTGCATTGGTATGTATGGTATCCCGCGACCTCTTTCTATACTTCAGGAGTTCAAGAGCGCACAAGCGACGCATGGCCCCATTGCGGTCCTTAGTACTGACAGAACCTTGAATCTTACAAGACCAAATATCTCCATGGCTGAGCAACCTCAGAAATCTTAGGAGATCTCATAACATATGCACCTTGGATCAAGCATTTCCATTTGCAAACACCTTGGATCATCAGGGTGCAGACATCTCAGAATGTCACAAACATCTCAGGAGATCAAAGGTGAGATCCCCCTGTGCCGCTGCACCGGCCGTTGCCGCTGCGGCCTCGCTGACGCCTTGGGCCGTGCACGAGACGAGCGCAGTTGGGCGGCGCCGCAGCCGGCGCTGGCCATTGCGAATCTGCACAGGGAGGTCACGGACACTCGGACGGGTTTAGAACGATGGAGGTAATGATAAGGTGGACAGATGGGTATAGAATGGGTTTAGTTTAGATCTGCAATGATATGAGAGTTTGGCGGAAGAAGCGATAAAAAGAAGCCCACCAAACTAAACATGGAGTCTAGGAACTACAGCGAGTTTTTGAGCAAGTGGTGGAAAAATGGATGGGTGTACGGATGGATTGGAAGAAGCTGTCAGTACTGAACAAGTGGGCTTGGACAGAAGGATTTGCCATTGGGCAAAACTTGTACCACCTTCCTTCGAATCACTTGGAGAAGAGACAACAAGCATTTGCCATTTGCTATTTGCGAAAATGATTTTGCGGTTTTGAAACGTGTGCTAACTGTTCCCTTCATTGTTTCTGGAAATGTGCAAGGACAATTCCGCTTCCAGATAGGATGCATTTCAGCTTTTGTTTTTTGTCCATAACATTTTACATCATGACTGGTCTTTAAGCCTTCATTTTTGATGGTGACCCACTGGCAAGCAGATTTGTACCGTCATGACCACCAGCCACTTCTAGCAACCTGATGATGCAGAAGACCTTGCAGAGCAAGAAAGGATTGAAACTCCTCTGGCAGGCTGAACACGTTGCCCTCCGTCCGAACAGGCAACACATTGTGCCCGGCCCAGGCCAGCCAACTTAGCCCAACTACTTTAAGTGGCCCAACTACTCTAACCTGTCAGATTACCAAACACCGTGGAATCGTTTGGTCGTACTTCAGAAACACTGGTATCTCATGCGATGTCATAGCTTGCGATAAGCCATGCTGCTGATCCCCCGAAGGCCAAGCAAGGCAGTGAAATAAGGAGATGAAAGTGTACCATCTCCCCTCCCACCAGCTTGTAGTGACAGTTTTCCTGTATTGGCCCACCCTGCAGCGAATGCACTCTCCTGTCGCGTCTCGTACATCACTGCTGGTCGCCGGTCGCGTCCACGGCACGGCACGCTGATACTGCTTAAAGACATTCAACTTGGTTTCCTTCCATGACCATGTTTGTTTCCTTATGGCACTCCAGTGTATGTTTGACTTTGTTTGCTTTTGACTGCAAGGCCTTTTCACCCAAAGTCAAACATATTGACACTGGAACAGCGTCTTCCCGCATGGTTTTGATACCGGAACAGCGTGCTTTTACTAACACATACTCAGACTCTCCCAATTTAGCGTGCGAGGAGGAGATGCTCTACAGCTTCTTTACAAAGGTAGCACCTGTGGCCACCGTCCGAGTGGTCAGAGACACCAAGACTTTGCAGTCGGAGCAGCATGGCTATGTGAATTTCTACACCTTTCAGGATGCAGAAAAGGTCTTGAAGACGTTGGACGGCTCGGTCCTTTACAGACAGAGTGCCCTGGCCGCAATCCGTGCCAGCCAAGTTCGAACATGTGTTGGCGCTGAAGGATCTTGAAGGGCATGATTAGACTGAAGATCCGGAGGTTCCACAACAGTCCAATCAGTTTCGACAAAGTGGAACTGCTGAAGACGGTTTCGACCATCTGAAGACCGTCTCAGCATGTCTCGGCTCATCAACGCCCAGGATGTCTCCTCAGCTGGTCCACCAGGGCCAAACAGCCGCCGGAGCCCCTGTTGTCCGCACCGCCGCCAGCGCCAGCGCCAACGGCCGTGCGGGTGATCACCTCTTGCAAGCCCGTGAGCAGCATGAAGGCGGGGGGAGGGTTGGATTGTGCATGACACCATCGAAGAGATCCACATGGAACTGGAAAGCCACCGATGTGAAATGCAGCAATTAATTAGATCGATCATAGGTCATAGAATAGTAGGATGAATGAGTTTGTTCCGGCTATGTTACTGTCATCATTGGTCAACACTCTTTGACGGTCGCTGCTTGTTTTTAGGGTGTTATTGACATTGACGTTGCTGAAGATCGCCTTTTCCTTCAACGGTTTTTGTTTTTTTGCAGCGCTGAGTTTGACCCGGTAAGGTGTAGGCTGTCGCACATTGTAGTTTGTTGGTGAGACGCAGGTTCTTTATGTGGCACATGCAAAACAGCTTTCCATGATCCTTGTGGATCAGGAACACGTGGCCCCCGCAGAGCAGGTCAAAAGCCAAGGGCTTAGAGGAACAAGCGTTTGGGCTCCAACGGGAAGGTGATAGTTTTGTGTCGTCTGGAAGAGACCAATTAAATTATTGACGTCAATGGCAGGGTTGCTGACACAGTTGTTTAATCTAGTTTGCCCTAAAGTCTTCCCAAGAGCCATCACAAATTGGCATGTTGCCGACATTGTTTGGCCCAAGCTTAGTGAGACATCCAGGGCCATGATCCTCAGGAGGCGAAAGTGGGCCTTGTCTCGCGCACAGCTGAAATTCAGAAGGTGACCCCAACGGGATTCAGTAGGATGAAAGGCTTTAGCGAGAGGACAGTCTAACTAACGATTTCACTTACACTTGGTCATGCTTCTTGTTCACTTCAGATGGGTCAAAATAGAATTGGACACCTCGCAGACCATCCCAAGCAAAAGGGTTGGGTTCATTGATCTCCCCAGGCGTTTTTTCTCTCCCGACGTCTCCGTATGTATACAGACACGCCACTGCAAAGCACATGGGCTTTATGCCAGTTTGTGTTCCACTTCGACTTAATTGGTTATATCCGCCAACAACAAAATGGAGAGCTGAAGGCTTCGGTGTCCGAACCTGAAGACTTTGGGATCGAAAGCGTAGCAAGCTTGTATTCATGTGGAGCGGACATCCAACGCTACTCACAAGCAACACTTGCAGGGCAAAGTTGTCACAGTACATTTGATCACAAATGTCCACTGCTTTTTGCACACTTCCAGTCAATTGGTTTAAGAGGTGTCATCCCAGTCAAAGCATATCAAAGCATCCACATCATTAGTAGTTTGATCATGCCTTTGGATAGGTTGACAATGCTTTATTTGGACTAGTAAAGTAAACGGTTCAAGTGTTCAGTTTCCCTCGCATACTTGAGCATATACATTAAGGGATGTGATTGGGATGTGATCAGGGCTTGAGATGGTCCAGTCCAAACCGGGGCATCTCGCATTGTGACCTCTTGGTGAAGTCCTTCACCGAATGCGCATCGTTGTTTCGGACGGATTTGGACGGATCTTCGATGTTTGGTGCAACGGCACTGCACGGACCAGGCGTCGGAAGCTCGTGGGCAGCCTGGAGCCAGAGGAGCTCAGGCGGAAGCACATGGAACGAACCAGTGTGGATTCGCCCATGGACGTGTCATGATGGGTGCTTGATCAAGCCCTGTGGAGCCATCCCGTTGACCCTGCTAGGTTGACCATGTCATATGTCTTGTAATTTATTTAACCAGGGTCCGCCCCGGTGACCCCCCAGCATCATCATCGATCTCCTTGAAGCTGAGAATATCCCAGTGTCATGAGTCATGAGTCATGAGTCACTACTGTAGCGACACTGTGACTAGCGTCATCCAAGTCAGTAGATAGGAGATGGTACATATCAAGCCTTTGGCATTGTTTCATACTTGTTTGTTCCTACAGTAGTAGAGACAATTCGTTGCACAATCTATTTGGGATGAGACTGGAGGGCTTTCAAGATCAAAATGCATATGTTTTTTGTCTGGACTTTTGGGATACTACAGCAACCGCCGTTCCAATTTCTCTTTGCTTGCTTTGTCAGAACTATGATGCAATTTGCACCAAGTTGCCCCTCCAGCATCCAGCTAGTGATTGTCCCTCATGAGGGGTCTTGAGAAGTTTGCGTGGAGTTTGTCGTGGTATTTGGGGGTGAACCGATGCAAACTACTGGACACTCCCAAAGGTTAAGAAGACTACCTATACACATTGCATGTGTTCAACAGTCTACAGCCCTCCAGGTTTGCGCCGACACCCTGCAGACGTGCCAGGGCAGAGGCACGGGCTTGGAAATTCATGTGGGCATTTCACGTATAAACCCGATATCTCTCGATCAATGTGTGAATTGATGTTTGTCCACCAGATTGCTTTCCATCCGACTTTGTCTCAACTTCAGTCTCAACATGGCAGATGTTGGTCAATTTATGTCAGCTGACGTTCTGGGCTTTTCGGATCCCGGTGGAACCCAGAAACTGCCAACTCATCGTGCCTCTCAACATGTTGTCCAAGAGGATGGGCAGACAAGCACACGTCGATCGATGGGGCAAACAACTCTCAACTGAAAGACTTTTTGCAACTGAAACACATTTTGTATACCCATGGCAATTACAAGTAGCCTTATAAAATGGGGTGCAAGACTCCTGTATTGCCAACGGTATTTTTGTGTGTTCTGTAAATGTTTTGCTTCTCCCTCTAAACCTTGACCATCGTAGGCACGAAGCCGAATCCAATGGACACCCCGACATGCATGGAAAGTGGAACAGTATGGAACAGTGGTTTCATATTTTTTTCACGTAGCGAAAACGACCGGCGAGATCTCGGAGGTTGTTGTTTTTTCACGGCCTAGGACTTCCACAGCCCCTCGGATCCCTTCGAGCCCAAGTGGACAATTCCTCGAACTCCAGTGAGGCCTGTGCCCAAGTCCTTGGATGATGGGAAGTTCATGAGCTGAATAAGTAACAAGAAGCTACTAGGGTGGAGGCCATCCCTATTAGGTTGGAGACCATATGAGGCCGTCTTTTTCTTCGTTGTGATTTTTGCATAGGATTTGTTCAAGAAACTCTTTGTTCGTTCGCCTAACACGAGCGCACAAGTCGAGTCAAACGAAGCGGGCCTAGCCTAAGCCGTGCCACTCGAGGAGTCCCGGACAGTCCCGGAGCCCTCCGGTCCCGCCCATCCAGCGTGCCTCCGCAGAGGCCCACCGAATTGAGGATTCTTCCGGTGGTGGAAGAATTCGTCTTGAGTCCAGGGAGGTTTGCCTAGCGCATTTTGCAAGTACCACAAAAAAGGGAACATTGAAAAGAAACAGTTTGTCGATGTTGTTTCTTTTTGGTGGCGAAGGTTACTTTTTTGGTATTTTGTGTGTTATTGGGGTGTCCCTCTAATACTTTCGAAGCGCATGATGTCATGAGTGCAACCCTGAACATTGGACCATCAATGTATAAACTAAGTTTCATAGCCTGGCTGAGACCGTCTTTGAAACCGAGGATGTAAGCTAGGGAGATCAATTCCTCAACCCTGCCAGCTTCAATGACGTGAATGAAGACAGTCTCCAGCAGACTGTGCACCAAGGACTCCGCAGTCCGGCTTCAACGCTCGACTCAACCAGAGTCAAGAAACATTTGCAAAAGAAAGCCTGGGGTAGAAACATTGCAGTGATTGACTTCAATAACATGCGTTGCCCGGTCTTCCAATTTTCACTATGACTGCTTTGTTAAGTTCCTTTTTTGCGACATGGAGGTTCTAGGTAGGGAGGAATGAGGCATTCCTCATTGCTGTACTATTGCATTGGGGTTGGTTGAGCTTGCTCAAAGTTTGCCATTGGGCATTTAACGAGAAGCTGAGCACCCATATTCAGAAGCTTTCAAAAACGTGCACATTAACTTTGACCAATCATTTCATTTACGTGCCCCATGTGCGGTTTCATAGCGCTAGGGGATGCCCAAGAACGAGACCCATCAACGATAGCCTGTAGACTGCGCAAGTGTCAACTTCACGACATTGTTTGTGTTTTGTGATGCAATAGAGATGGTTTGGATGCAATCTTTTTTAATTTTCCTTCGGAACCTGTTTCAGCATTGGTGGAAGACTTGCCTTGTTAGAACTCTCGTTGGCTCCAGGTGGCCACACAAACAGATCCGACTGAAGAGAGTGGCCCGGATCAGCGAACGGCGACTGAGCGAGCGAGCTGTGGCGCAGAGCATAATTGGCCAAAGGAAACTCCAGACCCATCCGAATTACCCTTCGCATTTGTCATTCTCTTGGTACCAAGCTGTGTAATCAACTCTTCTACGTCAGGCGGTGGTACAACTCCTGTTCTCGTTTCTAACCAGAAGTAACAAGCTGCAAAAACCAGGGTTGGTGGTGTTCACAACTTGGATTTGATTGCTAGAAGTGCTGCTGCCGCTGCCCAGGCTCCAAACCACAGCTGCGCAGCATGCGCCGGAGCCGCGGCACGTCCCTGCTTCTTCAGCTGATTTTCCTGATCCCAGGCTTCGTGGATAGCGGGCTTAGCTGAGTAGCCAGCTTAGAAAGTTCATCGTCTCGACGCTCGTATACGCTCCTACTGGAGTTGGGCTCACCTGCACTGGCTATCCAGGCCACAGCAAGAGGCCACCCTTTTTTGATTTGGAAGGGGCACAACACACACTCACTTGGACTCAGTCATGGCCATGAAGGTGTTCTCTTCTTCAAAGAGCAAAAGAACACAAGCATACAAAGCTATGGCATTCTATGGCCAAAAGATGAGTGGCTCTTGCAAACTCATGGATTTCCAGGACTGTGTTTGGCTTGGCGCGAGACGACGGCTTCCTACGTCGCAGCTTGGAAGAGAGGGCAAGTTGAGTCTTCTGCGGCAAAAACCAGCGAGGAGGGTTCAATATCAACAGGCAAGTTTTGGGGCTTTTGAGGGAATAAATTAGATCGAGTCACATTTGTATATTTTATTATGAGTCATATGAACATGTTTGAACTATGTCTGGGGCGGTATCAGGGGTGGCTGGCTTTGTAGGGGCCGCAAGCGCGTCCTTGCGTCCTCTTCTCACCACCTTCTCAGCACTTAGGATGAGGCAGCGATTTGTCCGATGTGTGACAATTCATCGAGTGTGGAATTGCTGAAGATCCAAGCGGAGCTGGAACGATGTCACCAAGAAGGCACTGTGCTTGGTCGATGAACTCGGTGATTCGAAGGTGTGGCCCAATCCTTTATCGGCGGTCGAATCCGAGGCTGTGGCCCAACTTGGACATCTTGGCTCCACCTTTGAGAGTGACTAGCCTAGGTGTGCCTTCTTCCGGAGTGCAATTTTCGAGCCAGGTCAGATTTACTCAGGAATCATCATCAAGCATGGTGTAAGTTGCTGCAACCCTCGGTCTCGCATGAGGTCCTTGGGAAGCTGTATTATGCTAGGAACATGAAGCCATTCTCCACATGCCCCTCAAATCTGCTCATCAGACGAGGCATAGATTCTTTGACAGTGCTCACGTAGAAGCAAATTCACTGAACTTCGTGGCTGAGAAGATGTTGGCTTTCTTCTACCAATTTAAAAATATGGCAGTGCTGTTGTCACCGCCGTTGCCAATAGTTGCTGAGTTTTTTGTGCCCCACCACCCAGCTGAAGCTGAATGAAACTGGAGCCTGCTGCCGAGTGCGCAGGAACTGGTAATTCAAACGCTTCAAGAGCGACACGAGATGAACTTCAGCCTTCGAAGAGCATGGTTTAGATACGTAGTAAGTGGAGAAACAGCCAAATTGATCATGGTTGAGTTATCTCATGTGCCCAACTTTTTTCGTGATGAACTTGAACTTGGTGGTGGGCCTTGCCAATTCACTGCATGGCCAACATGGAGAGTCTAGGGGCTGCGGAGACCTACTCCACGCCATCCATGGGATGCATTAACACCGCTGGAACAAAAAGGAGCACAATGGAGCACATTTGCCACTCTTTTGAGTCCTTCCAATCAATTGGGCCCGAAGGATTTCCGGGGCCCAACCTAATAGCGATGGCCTCCAACCTACTGACCGTGGCCTCCAACCTACGTACTAGCGATTACTCTTCTTGAATCCTTTTGCCTGATCAAAGGGACGTAGAACACACTCTTTGCTTGGGACGTGGGCATGTCTTTCCTATTTGTCCATTCACCTGATTTGCCAAGGTGACCGGCCGCGTCGGAAGGCCATTTGATGTACATAGCACCGAGAGCAGCGCGGGTCTCCACTGAAGAAGCACCTCAACTCGTGGACGTCCAACGCTCTTGTCCACTCTTGACATCGGAAATGGGTAAATGGGTACCGAACGGTGACGAACGGGAGAAAAACGAGAACGAGCCAAAGGTCAGTGGCAATATTCTCTGCCGGTGAGTGGAGACCTGTTTGACACCGACCTACGGCTGGATGCGACCAAAAGTTCAGCACCGTTGGGCGCAAAGAAAAGCTGCGCGCAGCGCCCAGGCAGTATGTTGACCGTATTTTGCGGGCTCAAGATATGTTGGAATTGCTTTTGGGGGGAAGTCGCTGTCGTTCCTTTTACTGTCTTGCTATGATGATAATTGGCTTTGGCTGAAAAGATTTGATTATCCCATGTTCAGTCGGCCAGCAGCTCTACAGCTGGCCTTATCCAAGTGTTGGTCAAATTGGCTCATGTGCATTCGAAGAAATAGATCGATCTTTGGCGCCTGTCCTTGCGGTAGTTTCACTATATATATATATATAATATACCAGAAGTCACAAAGGGGTGCCTATTGGAAGATAGGGGTGCCCATTATCCACTCACTTAGGGACTAAAAACCACCCCTTTGTGACCCCTGGTATATGTTTCACTCACAACAAAAGGCACAGCAAAATACCCTTGTGTCCGAAAGGTGGGTTCTTCACCTTCTGAGTGGTCTTTGTAGGCTCCAGGTTTTGAAGAGAGCCCATGAGTTCATTCTCATGGGTCACCGGTTGTGAACCAATGCTCTTGTACACTGTGACTGGTATCTGGTATTTTGATGTATTTTGATTGTCATTCCAAGCAGTGTGTGAAGGAGGCAACAAAACTGTGAGTTTTCCATCTCTGCATGCGATACTCCGAGATCCTTGAGATTTTTTGTTCGATACTCAGCACCTGCCAAGTAGGGTGTCTCGTCCACTTCGCTGTGAGGTTCGCATGGTTTGCTTCAGAGTCAGAGTGGTGACGTGCTTACTTTGTGCTCACTGCAGTAGCTTTGATCAAGGTCCCAATGGGCAAGCAAAATGAAGGACCAAGGAACAGTGTGCTCCTTGCAGCCATATTTAGGCATGGATCCCGGACAACATCAAACAGTCTCAGAACCGAAGAATTTTTACATAATGCGTGCTTTTCCTTGTTTCATTCTGTGTGTTCACCCATCTCTAACCACCCGCCCAACCAACACCTCAGAGCTTTCCATGAATCCCACAGAGGCTGCCAGGCCTTCCATGCAACTTGGAAGATTCTCCCAGACTCCGTCATAACTTGACCGACCTACAACGACTCGTCGACTTGACTTCCGACGCAGACTGATTGATCCACAAACACCAGACCTGATGGTGTGTTATGCGGATCTGGCTCTGGGGCATCGTCTTCTGAAAGAGCTTCCATGCGACGACGACGCCGTCGCAGCGCTGCGGGAGGATCCCCCCAGGGCGCTGAAGCGCTTCTGGGAGGCGAGGAGCCGAAGGAATTCCACGTGTCGAATGCCCTGCGGGCTACTAGTGCGGGCTAGCGGCGGCTAGTGAGTGAATTCTTTGGATGTTGATTGATGGAAAGAGGTCCCGGTTGGTTTTGTTTGGTTTGGTTGACTTAGACGACCTACGGTCTTTCTTTCCTGCCATGTTAGGCCTTGCGACCATTGCAAGATCAGATCCGGAAAGAACTGGGATCTTTGGTGACAGCTGCTCTTGCCGAGTCAAAAGCTAGTGATTTGAGAGGTTGTAGCCATCCATCTGGAGGAATAGAAGTTGATGAAGTACCTGACAGAGGAAGATGTTTGAAGGTCACGAAGCCTTTGACTCGTGGATCAGTGCTGATTCGTGAGTTTCCTGTGGCAAAGGTGCTTTTGGAGTCAAAGGAGCACTCATTGCACCCAGAGACGCGCTTGGCTTTGGTGCTGTCTGCCAAGGAGGAGAAGACGAAGGTGGCACAGAAACTGTTGGATCATGGCGGAAGGGACGCATCTGCTTTGCGCATGCGCGGGGTTTTGGCCTGCTGCTGTGGCCTTTGCATTGGCAATTCCATTGAGAAGGTGGTGTCATTATTTGGTTGGCTTGGGAGGGTCAGAATCAATGCAGTGGCTGTCACTGCACTGGTGGAAGCTGATGGTGACATGGTGGAAGACAAAGTCGCCCTGGCGCTCTATCCAGAGTTGGCCAGATGTGTGTTGGAGCCTCAGACCAGACCATGCGGTGCAGCTTCACGTTTCTCCACACCGTCCCTACGTACAGGGCAGCTTTGATCTCCACACGGAGCAAGGACGCTTCTAGGGGCTGCTGGCCTTACTACTACGAGCAAGAAGCTACTAGGGGCTCCTGGCCTCGCTACTAGGAGCAAGGACGCTACTGGGGGCTCACGCAATCGCTCACCAAGTTTCACCATCGCCTAGCCTTGATGCAGAAGCTCCACTCAGTCAGACCATGCGAGACTATGCGAGACTATAGATGGTCATCTCTGTTGTCTTGATTGAGACTCGCAAGTGGTTGTTGGACGTGTGGGGGTGCTGAGAATGATGTGTTTTGCTTCTCTCTGATCCCGCTTCAGGAACCATTCCTGTCGACCCAATGGCCTGTTGCGCTTCAATGCCAAGGACATGTGACTCAAATGGCTGAAATCACACAAATCACACTATATACTCCATGCCAAAGAGGCTGTGATCTCTATAACATCCAAAATCATGAGCTAGATGAGATAAAGTATTTGAGGGATCAGACATTCATCTCGAGGCAGATTTCTTGCAACATGAATTCCATCCCTGCAGAGAATTTATCATGTATTGTTTTTCACACACGTTCAAGGGTTCAGCAGTTGCTCAGATCGATGATAGTAATTACTGGCGTAAAGTATATAGGTTGGTGCGTTCCTCTCCACATTCCTCCCCAGTGGCTCGAATTCTTCAAGACTTGGACCGTCCTGCTTGGACCGGTGGCGGCTGGTGGCCATTGAATCGTTTTGAAGGAGTCCCACTTGGTGGAGCTCCTCATCAGTTCGCCCCACAAAGTGGGGGAGCCCGATTCCCGGCGCTGGCAAGCACTGATTCCTGGAGGTCGGACGGTTGGACGGTTGGCTCGAGCTTTGGAGCTTTGGCTCCAGAAAGGTACCGTTTATATGGGGTATCACATGGTATCACCATCGGCTATGGAGGTCTTCGATACAACCCAAACCTCCAAGATCCTCCAAGCAGTTCTTGCTGGAAACATATTGCAAGATGTGGCATGTGCGTTTGGTTGGGTCGTTTTTTTTGCCATGCCCACATCCTTATGTGCCGCAGTTTCGGGCTGAACCACATGCCATTAAAGCCTTAGGCCTTTTGGGAAGTGTTCAGAACTCCACATGTTCAGAACTCCACATGTCGAGTCCAACGTGATTCTTCATTCTCTTATACAGTAGTTAGTTTTAGACTATAGACCTTTGCTTTGAACATGTGGGAGTTGATCTCAAGTCCCTTGATTGATCTGTAGAGAGTGACCTAGTGGTGTTCAAACTCTTCGCAACAGATCCACGATGGGGTTCGTGAACTGAAACATGTGCTTGGCACGAAAGATCTGAAGTTGAAGGTTCCCTTCTAACTCATGCTGACGACGTACATCTTCAGATAATTTGTGTTATGCTTTTGCGAAGGATGACCATTTTGGTGAAGTCGAAGTTTGACCCACCACCAAGTATTTTTGCTTGATGGTAGAAGCATGCAAAAGGGATGTTGAAGACCCTTGCGTCTTAGTGACCCCTTGAGTATCTATGCTCAGTGCTCCTATCCAACCCACCTGTCTACACAGCCAACGCGAAGCCGAGCAAGCTGTTTAGCCCAACCAGGTTGCAGCTGGAGAGGAAGTGACCATTAGCTATGGATGCTCAGCATGAACCAGTCTGACCACCGGAGACCGCTCAAGACCGCAGCCGGGAGACCGCAGCCGACCGCAAGAGAACCTGGTCCGTTCGGATGCACTGGAATGGTTGACTCACCAACGGATACATCTGTAGGAGAAAGAAGACAAAGCAGTACCAAAGCTGTTTGGAGACCACTGAATCAGCAAGGTTGCCCCATTGATGTATGGTGCAAGCCAAGTTGCTGCATAAGTGCTGGTGATTCTGGTTGCCAGCAAGTTGGCAAAAAATTGTTGTGAAATAAAGACTGGTATTGTGCTCTGCTGGTGGTTTTTGGTAGGGCTGTGGAGCCTTCGCATGTTGGTCAGCTGACATTGAGTGCAATTGCTTCGCAGCGGATACGCATGGTGGTTTTATCATGTCTTATCACTACAATTGCGACCAGACAGGTAGTAGTTCAACCTCCGCTGAAGGTTAAGCATTCATTGTCTGGCGGAAGGTCGTATGGATTTGGTGAGTCTGTTGTTGAATTATTGTTTTCCATGTCCATCGTTTGATCATTTATTGGTGAGTGTATGGTTGTTTTTTGAAAGCTGGATGTTGAGATCCCAAGACTACTTGCAAAAGCTATTGTCACTTTCATTAGTTTTTACCACAGTATTCCAGTTCCTGAAAAGATCATATATATGGCCACCGCCTCCACATGGAGCTACCTTGAGCAGGTGCATCTACCCAGTGGACAATTAGAGGGCTGGCGGGAGGGAAGGGCGCGCGAGGCTTTGAACAACTAGTAGCAGTGCAGGCAAAACGCCAAGACCTTCCAGCATTGGCTCAAAACGCCAATCCTTTGTGCCTTGCTTCCTTTCCGACGATGCGATCGATTTCGCACGCGATCACTTGGATCGGAAAGACCCGGTGGTCGGGACATCGGGCCGGGTTCAAAGACCGTGCTGTGAGCGAACAGTCTCGCGTTGAGAGGACAGCCGGTCGGACTGATTTGATCCCAAGCATGGTGACAGCAAAGCAATGAAGACGTCTTCAAGACCGAATCGCTGACAAAGTTCAAGCCTGGTGCGTTCGATGACGACCTCTTGCAGAAAGATGGGCGCCTCCTTCTTCAAGGCTTTCCTCAACACTGGTGCAACTTGTTTGCCTTCGATTTAATTTGAGGGGAGTCACTCAAACCTGCTCATGCTCATCCTATCCATATTGCTTTCATGCCGTGGTGCACCCCACTTCATGTCTCATGCTGTTATCCAACCTTTCGTGTGGCAAATGCTACAGTCTGGGCGCCCTACTCTTCAGCGCAGTTTGATCAGGGTGCTGGTTAGCTTTTCTGCAACAACCTCTACAATGCTAACCTGGAACCTGTCATTCTGGAGAATGCATTGAAGGTTTGCAAGATCAATGACAGCTCCCTCTTTTGGTGGTGTCGAAGATGCAGAAGATATGGCAGCCATCTTCGCTCGCACACACTTGATTGTTCTCACAGAGCAAGCAGTGTACTGGCGTGTAGCTGGTACTGACAAAGGCGACGTTGCCTTCATTCCTTGGGCCAAGGGCCAATCAAAGGACATCCAGACATCCTTCTTGATGCGCATAAACATGCAGAAACCATTCTTCCATGTCTACAAGAAGGATCAGGATGCGCGTGCTTTGCCTCCCAACCAACTTCCATCGCAAATTGCATGGACACTCTTGCAACTTTCTTAGCCAGCTGTCCCCATCCTATTCCAGGCTAGTCGAAGCCTGCGGGTACATTGAGGTGTCTGACAGGGACAGGAGTGTACAACTTGGAAGACGACTTCTGGAGTCATTTGTGCCCCTACTGTAGTAGCGTCCTTGCTCCTAGTAGCAATGCCAGGAGCCCGTGGTAGCGTCCTTGCTCCTAGTAGTAAGGCCAGGAGCCCCTAGTAGCGTCCTCAAATAGGGGTGTGATTGCAGGTCTTGCCATTTCCTCCTGTCCGTCCGTCTTTCTCTTTCGAAATCATGTCGCACATCAATCCACCTAGGCCTGCGTGGCACATCCCACGCAGTTGGCAACCCAGGTGTGAAGAGCGGAGCAGGTCTCCTGTCTTTGCGCTGACGCCTCCTCGTAGTCTTCCTCATGCCCCTCGTGCCCCTCCGGGCCCACCACATCTGATGCCTGAGCCTTTGTTTTTGTATAGCGTGCCGGTCACTCATGAGCTGTTGGCCTCACCACCCCGCGCATCTGAATCTCAGTAGGGTGTAATTGCGTCAATATTAGACAGCAAGTGAAACGATACGTAAGTCAAGTATGATATAATTCAGATTAATTCAGTCTGTATGTGGTGATGAAGTGGTTATATTATTGTTGCTGTATGAAATCATGTATCTTGGTGCTGTTCATGGACCTCGATAGCTTTTTCTGTAACAAATTCGCCGTGCGCAACGCTCAACTTGCAAAAAGGGGCGCTGAACATCGAATATATATATATATATAGTATTATATATATATATGTGTGTGTGTTTTTTTTAATCGGGGGAAAGCCCTTATAAGCAGAGGACATGGCACGAAGAGGTACCACTAATGGTCACACTAGTGGCATCCAATCCCGTGGTTAGCTGCCAACATCAAAGGTGGACATGCAACCGAAATATTATTGGAAGAACAGAGCATTGAAATTGGCTGAGCACATCCGATTCATGCATGGTTCTTTTTCACCATTTGTGGTGTCCGATCTTTTCCATGGGACCTGGGTGGGCTTTTGGGAACTACATGTCGAACGGACGGCGCCAAGTGGCCTGGTGACCACACAACGTCGTCGACGGGCCGCTTGGTGCTATTCAATCAATCAAACCAGTTGAAAATGCCACCGATGGCCAAGTGGGGTGCTTGTTTTGGTGCTTTTGGCTTGTGACAACCCAACGGAGCGTTCCTAGGACCGCTGGCGTCCTCCATGGTGCGCTCCGAACGGCAAGCAGCCTTGCGGGCGCAGTGCGCATCGGACGGGAGGGATCGGCGGACGTGGATGACATGTCAAAGCTCCAAATGTGTAATGTAATTTAGTCATATATAGTTATTTATACCATGGATGAAGTGTTCACGAAACATATATTATATACAGTTATACATGTTAAATCATATTGAACCTTAAACCAAGGATTTATAGTTTTGTCAAAGCTCAGCTAGAAGGGTTTTAGGCATGTTGACAAGTGAGGCAAGGAGACAGAATATTCAATCTCAGTCAACAGGTTTGCTAGGAAAATGTATATATATATATATAGAGAGAGAGAGATCGAACATTGAACATGCATAAAGAAACAAACACATTGAGCGAACTGCCTGGCCTGTGACGGGCATACAGACCCCATTTTTTCTAGCTGAGAGAATCGAGTGGGCAACAAAGATCACGTTGGTGCTTGGTTGCATGGGTGGGGCCCCCGTCATCCGCTGAACGTGGTTCAATGTCTTGTTTTGGCTGATTGAGGTCCATGCAGGTGAGCCCTCAGGTGAGCTCTAAATGTGACCAGGATAAACACAGAATCCACAAAATATGAGGGGATAAGCTTTGTAGTAATCGCTCACATGACAACGTGTGAACAAGGCAATCTACTAGCAGGTTGGATAATGTGGGATCTCGTATTCAAGTACTTGGAAACCACCATGTATGTGAAGTGCCACAGGATTAGGTTTGCTTACAATCTGACAATCGCATGGGTTTGCAACAGCCTTTGTTGATCGAGATCCATGAACAGCCCTTTGTTACTAGTAGCGTTCTTGCTCCTTGTAGTAAGGCCAGGAGCCCCTAGTAGCGTCCTTGCTCCCTTGCTGCCTTTGTGTCCTTTTCCAGGTATGGATTCGAGTGCAGATGTCCTTCTTGTGCATCAAAGGCCAGCTCTTCGGGGGGTATGGGGACGCCTGACCGGTCGTGGTTTTCTCCAGATGCCGTTGGTGGCATGGAGCTGTCTCAAGAAGACCTGAGAAATGATTGAATGTGTACCGCTTTGATCAAAGCGACACACTCATTTGTCTTTGCCTTCAGTCTTCCATTGCTGTGCAGTTGTTTGATAGTCAAACACATGCAGCCCTTTAGCTCAGAGGACTGTGAAAGAAGTTCCTGTCAGGTACAAGATGAAGACTTTCACTGGAAGAGAAAAGCACAAATGTTGGATGATAGAGCTCGTGCAAGCACCTCAGAGATACTTCAGCTGTGGGCTTCTTTCGAGGATCAAGACCTATCATAAGAAACGTGTGATCACAATGAACTTTCAGGTCATCCATAATTCACGGTGTGACAACAAGATCGAATCATTGATCTATGCAACCTCAGGCTGCTGTGCAGCGTGAGGCCTGGCAAGAAGCAGTGCCATGGCAGATGGAGATTCGATGAAGCCATGGTTAGGGTCGATGTCTTGTAAGGTTTCCAGCTTGTTTTGTGGCTATCTGGTGTGGCGGGAAAGCAACCCAACGACACCAGCAATGCTCACATTGCAGCAGTAGGGCTCGCTGCTACCGATTTTAGCATCGTTAACAACGGGAACATTAAGAACGCAGACAGAGACATACACATCATTAATGTCCATTTTTGGTTCAAACAAAAGAGGGTAGGACAGTATGCAGATACGCGTAGAGTTGATGGAAACAGATAGGAGCAGATAGACATGGCAAAGAGACGCAAGAGAATAGGCAAATGAAGACAGATAATCGCAAATACTTAGTGGAAGATACTGTGTATATACAGATGAATATGAGAAAAGAACGATTATGGAAAGATGGATGTGATGAAAGAACCTGAGCCTCAGAGTAACATCATGTCTCAACAATTGTAAACAAAAAAACACGTCGAACATCCGATGACGCTTTCTGAGGCGATTGCCTGCAGCGCTTCCGTGGCCATGCTTCGTCGCATGGCCGGTCGTTTGGGCGGCCGGTTTGGGTTCGGAGCTATAGCTCTTGTGGCCACAGGACGTTTATTTTGAAATTCTGGGACTGCATCAACCGGGTCTTCATTAAGTACAGCAATGTTTATGTGATGCTAAAGAGTGCAGCTGGTTGCAAGGGACACAAGGCAAATCTTATCAACCCCTTTGACCTTGGTGGTCCTTGGTTGAGGTACATGGGGAACAACAACAGGAACCAAATTTCTGGTTCAGATCTCTTTCACCGCTAAGATCACATACAAGTGGAGGAACATGTCACGTCCAATCAAATTGGGCGAGTGTATTGTGACCACCTGTGTCTACATACTAGCAGTTTCTCGCTTCTCTGGTGATGTGAACACTAAAGTAAAGAGCCGATTCACTTGGTGCCTGTGGCAGTGGGTGCACCCCTCCTTCCTGCCTTGTTTGAGTTTGTCCTGTGTCTGGACTTTCCAAGGAGAGGGCTTCCGGGACGGTGACATTGAGCTGGCAAGGGAAGAGTCAGAGCCTTGGAGCTCCGGCCTTGAAGGCCTTGAGGCAGAAGCTGCGTCAAATTTGCTGCGCAAACGCGGCGGACGACATGACGTGTGACCACAAAAGACTCGTTGATTTACCAGATCGAGGGGATTCCAGGGATCCAATTTGGAAAGTGGTGATGCTTCACCGGTGGCCTTAGGTGCAAGCTGGCGGGCTTGACGCTTAGGGCCGGTGATGCTGCAACTCGGACCGGAATTCGCGGCTGGGTAAAGTAGAGGATGAAGAATGGCATTCTCTATAATATCACACAATAGAGGACCTCACCTTGGAGAATAACAATCATTACCCTAGGAATCCCCATGATAACCGGAAGGTCAATCATTGGGAAGCTTCTTGGTTCATGCGGTTCTTCCTTGTGTTCAGGTTGTTAGGTTCTTGCATTCACACACTTTGACCGGGTTCATGAAATAGAAGACACGTTGCCAGCAGTGGATAGCGCGTTGCACGTTGGGCAAATGGCAGAAATCCACATCCGTGGACTCCTCCAGGTGCCCAGGGTTTCTCTTTGTACCATGACATGGCTACTAGGAGCAAGGACGCTACTAGGAGCTCCTGGCCTTACTACTAGGAACAAGAAGCTACTAGGAGCTCATGGTATATAACAAATGTATAAATATGGGTGTTTAGTCATTTGAATAGGGAGATCCCCGATCGCCCCTGGCTGGGTTGACGGGTCTATTTCCGGAACCGAACCCTGGGCGGTTGTTGCGCCCCCAAGTGCCATCAGTAGCTGACTTTCCCCTGGGCCTTCCGGGCTGCTTAGCTGCTTTCGGTTGGGCTAAAGGACTTCACCAGCGTTGGACTCCCGGTTGATGGCCTTGTCCCACAGAGGGGTATCAAATGAATCAATGCATGGAAGCATGTTTCCAACTTTCCAACTCCAAGTGCGACTTAAATATGAATGATTCAACAGCGCATCTATTATCATATGAGTCATTTACAGTATATACGTAGACACCGAATGTAGGAAAGACACCAGTCTTTGATCCGCACAACATGCTGTTTGTGCATTGTTGGCGAGGTCAAAGCCAGGGAGATCTGGGCCGCTGCTTGCCAAGTGCCACTCACCCTGACCAGACAGGGCATTTGACGGCAAGCACTTGGGAGGGGAAGAGGAGGCAACTGATGTTCAATGCCTTTTGAACAATTATTTACATATAGTATAAAAAAAGCATCGAACATGCGCTCTCAAGAGTCCTGATGGTGAAAGGTGTCATAAGCATCATAAACATAATCTACATAATGGAATCCGCGAGCATCACAGCCAAGTTTCCTTGAGTGCTTCCAAAAACGATGGGTCAGAGGTGGTAAGAGTGACATGACAGGAGAACTATATATAATTGATTAATGTCATATACAGATGAGACAGACCAGACGCCAAATAAATATATATATATATATACAGTAGTTTGCCGGCTCCTGAAACTGACAGGACAGATCCGACCAATCTGCTCGATCGCTCTCCCAGGCTGCGCCCCTTGGTGTTGCCTGCTGATCCTGATCTTCAAGAAGCTGAGGTGCCCAATCGGTGGTTTGTTGGGCGATATGTACATATGTTATTGTGCTGTTGTTGTTGTTGTTTTTTTTTTTAGATTTTTTTTTTTCAGCGCTAGTTACTGCTAGTTCTCCAATGTGCTAAGGACGTGAAGACTTTGTGACCATGCGCCGCTATGAACCTTCGCATGTCATTTCATGCACCTAGCATTTGGCATGGGCGAACTACTGGTCATTGTGTCCTTCAAGCTTCCTTTGTATTAGTGGCCTCACCTCCATGTTGACACGAGGCACATGAAGAGAAGCGCATGGAAGTTGTCACAGCCAAGCGTTTGACTGGTCATGTGATTCTTCAATCCAGAAGCCGAATACTTTCGCGGCTTTAGTTGCTTCGGAGTGCCAGGATGTTGACACAAATGTCATGTATATTGGATGTTGTTTGAGTCGTGACCAAAGAAGCAGGACATGGTTATGATATGTTACGGCCTTGTTGTCGAGCGACGATGTGGTCAAGTTGAACAATGTTGCATAATGTCGAAATGTGAACAATGGGTGGTTCAACATTTGATTATTTAGTTGTTCACTGAGTTGTTCAATATTCGTTTTGTCTATTCAAGTGAGCTGTTCGGCCAGATTTTGCTTCGAGATCTGGACCCTCGAACTCGATGCGACTCGCAGGAGATGCTGAAACGGCTTCCTTGGCCTTCGATACGGCAGGAGCGGCCGCTGAGCCCATAGCGATTTGGTGGAAACAGATATTTCATGTGCGAGTACTGAAAGACATTTGCTGTAGAAAGCCATGAGGACTTGCTGTTGTTTCTCGTTTCCAGGTGTGATGCCAGCAGTTGCAAGCTCATCCATGTCAAAATGGAGGGATGTGGAATATGTTGAACAAACAAATAGACCCAGGGGATGAGAGATCCCGCAGAACCAGACCCAACACATAGCCCACCTCGTTCGCAGAGACCCAGGAGAGGCCTCCCTCGAAGGACCGTGCGGCCCTGAGCCGTTCCTAGTAGCGATGCCCTTTGCTCCTAGTAGCTTCTTGCTCCTAGTAGTATGGCCAGGAGCCCCTAGTAGCGTCCTTGCTACTAGTAGCGATGCCAGGAGCCCCTAGTAGCTTCTTGTTCCTAGTCGTCAGCCCTCTCCCGAACGTCATTCGGATAGGACGTGACGATACACACGTGACGATCGAACAACGAGCGTGACAGATGCGGTGCCGGCGTTCGGTGGACAGAGAGAGGCGGCGCCACGATGGACAACTTCACACCCGGAAGGACGGAGACTCCCATGCAAGATGTACGTCTTGCATGCCAGTACAAGTGACCTGAAGAGGTTGCATGCCAGGGTTCCCACTGACCTGAAAGTTCCAGAGGTTCATGGGACAAGTCCTTTTTCTGCGGAAAACTGCAGTCTCATCACATCACCCCTTCCATCACATCTCCACCATGCTCAGGTTCTCAAGCCACGTTCGCCACTGCGGCAAGCAAGATCGAAGTGGCTGCTGCTATGGGAGGCCTGACTGTCTTTTGTGCGAGTTGATAGTTGATAGAGCTTGACTCAGACAGAGCTCTTCCGCGGACAATTTGTCTTGGTTGCTCCCAACACAGACGACAGATCTTTGTCATCGCAAGAGGTTGCCTTGCCAGGCCTCTTCCAAGCCATTGAAGCAGCAGCCCGCAGCACATCGACAGCTACAGTGGCATCTCTAGCTTGTTTGTTGAAGAAGTTACATGTGCCAACATGAAACAGAAGCAAACAAAGTCCGTACACCATCGGTTTCTATCACCAATTCATTGCAGCCCAACCTGAGTGAAGCTGCTTGGAGGATCAATGCCAGACTACCGTGACTGACGCCTTCGCCGGCACAATCTACGGGCGTGGCGGCCAAGCCAAACAGCTTCTCCAACTGGGAGGACTGAGGTTCGAATTCCTAGTGGAGGACTGAGCAAACAAACGAAAACAAATCTTATAGCTGGACATAGTCTGACCAAAGCCTGTGTGGGTGTGTCGGTGATCATTTGGAATAACCTGTTGTTTTGATTCGGATCTACCTGCCACCACTTGCCTCGCAGAGATGCGAATGCAGTGTAGACTGTGTAAGCCGCCCAAGATACTCAATTGGTGGAGTGTAATTTTCTCTCCACTGTAATAGCCACAGTAATTATGGTTGTTATAAGATCAGGATGGAGATTCATTCCACATTCAGAAAGCATATTCTTGAATGTCAATTGTCCAATTTACCCATCTCTTCATGCTTTGGTAAATGGCTGCACTTTGAGGCTGGAGAATTTGCAGCTCTCTGCTGATGAGAAGGCTAGACTCATGCAGGCCATGTCAGGGCCTCCTGGTTGCAATAGACCCGTCCGACCACGGGAGGGGGGACATCGATGGAAGGTGGGTCGATCGACAGCTAGGTGCTTTGGCTTTCGTCCAAGTCTCATGATATTCCGACATCATTCGTGGTCGACCAGAAGCGGAGAAGCCTTTCTTTCAGGACCCACTGCTCACTAAGACAAAGGCAGAGGTGGACATCGCTATCCAGCGGACAAGGATTGGACCAGGTTAGAGTAGACCTGGAGGGAGAAGACAGCATAGGTATTCTGACTGCATGCCGCAGGGCGGACGAGTCTGTTTGCTAGCCCAGAAACAACATCAAAAACCGCTCAGTGGAGACCATCATGACCATCCTCCCGTGTTTATTGCGCACCTTTGGCACCTGTGTCTCCCAACTCCTGCAGGTCAGTGGAGTCTGGCAACGGGCGATCGACCAAAAGGTTGTGCTGCGCACTGCGGTCGAGTCCGAAGATGCTGGGGAGTCGCTGCAGCCGTTCTCACCAGAACCGACACGACTGGACACGTTCGGCTCATGATTAAACCGAAGTTGTCAAGTCAAGATAGATTACCAGACCTGAGAACTTTTAGAGAGGATTTCACGGGAGCATGGTTTGTGTCGACTATTACTTACTTGTTCACCAGCAGTTCATCCAGCTGTTCTTTTTTTAAGGGTGCTTTTATACTGTAGATGCTTTTAATTGTTTTTTTTGTCTTGTCCTTGGCCTAGTCTCCGACCTTCCGCCATGACGAACTACTCGAAATGGGACAAGTTTGCTGCAGGTGCCATCCCGAGCAGTTGAAACGCCTTTCTGTTTGATTGTCAAAGTTCTTTGGTCAGATTTGCTTGTCAATTGGATTGCCACACCGGCTATTTGATATATTGTCAACTTCACAGCAGTGATCCAGCCTGATCTTTGCTTGCTGTGGAATTCGATACTTAATAGCCCGGTGATGCTGCATCAATCAATCGATTTTGTCGGTTTTTGTCCCGTGCAAAACCCTGCTGAAGACTGGAATGCGGTTTGCTCTTGCCTACGCATTGTTGATGGCAGACTTGGCATCGGACACGGAAGAGGAAGAGGAAAGAGAGCTGGAGAAATACACCAGCAAGACAGGTGGGGTGGATTTGATACTTGCATCATTCTTTCTGTGGAGTGCAGGTATCATCTTCACACACTCAATGGATTCGCCTATTTTCTCATTGCAGAGTGTTTCTCAACCAAGGTCAGATTGCTGCTTTTTTTCCTTGGTCAGTTATTCCAGCCCAGCAAAGGGCCCAAGCTACATGTGGCATACTTCGAACGCGCAAGCAACAATCTTTTAAACCAGCCCGGGCAGACCCTGGGTGCACCCCTGTTGGACCTTTTAGCTGTTAAACCCTCAAAAACTTCATGTAGGGAAGCAATCCTTGAACCCTGGCTTATTCCAAGCGATTGACTCATAAAGCCGCCGCTTCCTGACCCGACCCTACTAAGCCTGCTTCATCCACGTGCCGCCGGGCGACTTCACTAAGAAGGAACAGCTTTGCAACCTGGTTTACTGATCACCTTTAGGCCTTTAGGTCGACCTGCTCGAGATAAAGACCTGCGTCAGGATTCTGCATTCTAATTCTATAGGTGATTGATAATGAGTTAGAATGAAAGGCCCATGAATTTTATCAGAGATTTCATTAATCATTCATGGGCAATATTGGCAATATCATCCATTATATTTAGTTTGGTCTTCTTGTCAGTCAGTGTTCCTCCCTTGAGTCCAAGTCTCTGAAGGGTAGGCCAGAGACCTGCAGTTCACTCTGTTTCTTGCAGTAACTGTTCGATGGAAACATGCTGATATCATATCTTTGTGATTATGAGACATTTGACATTTGTGTGTTCGTTTCGAGTTCATGATGTTCAATGGCAAATCCAAGGCAAGCTCCTGGAAGAGGATCCCGACTTTGAGGCCTCAAAACCGGTGTTTTGCGGCAGGTCTTATGATCCTGGTGATGTACAGCACTAACTTTCCACGATGAGAGACCTCAAAGGGTCACAGTAGGATATAGATGTACCAAGCAAAACATGGTTTGACTGGAGTTGGGATGCCATCCATCCTCCTACCTTAGGCCAGAATGATCACGGAGTGCCTTTCGTGTGACTCTACGTAATTTCCCATCAAGTCTTCCTCCGTTCCGCGGCATGAGTAGAGATATCTTTTCTGTGCATAAACAACAGACAGGGACGGTTGACTCTAAAGTGAACAAAAGGAGGATCGGTGGACTGCGCTTCCTTGAAATCATGGACAGCCTAGGCGCTGGGCATCTCAAGCATGAATGACGTGTGGATAAAACATGATATCTGATAAAGCAATGCTCCAGACAATGATAGAACACAGGGTGTAGTTCCTTGCAGTTCATTCATGATTTACGTTTGTTTGTTTGAGTTTAACTATCCAAGGATGAACATCGATTAGCCCAAGCCATATCGGCCAAACGCAACACTCTCCATACTAGGGACTGCAAGACGTGCATTGTAGGCTAGTTTGCAGTCCCCACAGCACCTCCACGTTCTGTTTGCCACGTGAGTGTTCACCTCACTGGAGAGCAAGATGGATTCAAGTGAGATCCTTTCATCCAGTCAAGATGGGGTCCCTAGTTGTGGCAGGCACCTTCTTCCACTGCGGTGCGCGGGCCCAGAGAATTGATTGCCGATTGCCTTCCTTTGCTGTTTGGGTAAAGGGATTGGCTATGTGCTGAGACAGTGAAAACCGCCCAACAGTCAACATACTACAGGGAGCCCAGAAGGCGACTTCCATAGCGCGGATTCATGGCCTAATTCGTCAGACATCCAGAGCGGTGTACTGTAGGTTCTATACGAAAAGGAAGCAAGACACACTGTGGTGCATGTTTTCTTGTCCATTTTGCCATCTAGTCACTAAGTCGCTTGTCTATGTACTTTGCCAACCACTGTCGTGTCTTTGTTTTCCTTCGAGCTGCTCTGCTTGTCGCCTTTATCGCCAGTCAGGCGGGCATCGTCACGGAGGACGCCGAGCCCGAACCTGGCGCCGGAAGTCTGAGCCATGTGGATCCAAAGAAACAGCCGTCAAACAGAAAGCAGCCATGGGGTTTCACAAGGTATTATATTAATTCCTGGTTTTTAGGGATGGAGCTTTGAGCTGTTGCCTGTTGGGAATCCCCAACATGCGCTCAGGTTGAAAGGGATGAAATGTGCATATTGATGTCGGGTTGCGACTGATGCCTTGTGGTCTAGTGGCTGTTGGGTAGAAACCGGGTTCCTGACGCTCTGTGTGGGCACGCGACGAGGTGTCAAGAGCTTTGAAGAAGTACAAGTGGCAATCTGTTCCTTGGAGAGTGGAAGCGGCTCATGTTTTGATGAGCAGCTAGCAGCTAGCTAGTCTAGCTACCTAGTCCTCACTAGTGAGTTCAAGTGTCTGAGAACCCATTTGCTTGATGTTATTTGTAGATTAGATTAAGTATGATGAACTGCTAGCCATTTGGCCTCTGAGCAATCCATGTTCGGGATTCCATGTCGACATGGGTAGCAAAAAAGTCGTAAAGATTCTTGCATATCAAGACGCTGTTGTGAGAGGTCGATCATCCATGTGTGTGGGCCTTCCACTGAGTAGATGGCGAACCTACCATATTATTTGCAAATGGAAAAGGACCTCTACTGTTGGGTCTGGGTTCCCATAGATGTTTGCTGCACGCCAAGGTGACTTCATCGTTCATCCCAGGCGGGTCCAGTCTGTCGCCCAATGAAGGTCCTAAGGTATCCCATGACATAGCCGGAGCAGCCATCCGGTATCCTTCGAGCAGGGTTTCTCATCAACATGGAAGCTGCTTGGTTTAAGGGAAAGCACTTTGTTTGCGGCCGGAAAAAGATGGATATCCTCAAACATGGATACAGGTCATCATGTTACCTGAGATGACATGTATCATGCAATCCACTGACGACTTGTTCTCTCAGTTCTCATGCAATCCACTGCCAGACATGCTGAGATCTTCCACTGCCAGGCTATGCACCTGGAGGAGGAAGTGACGACCTGTGGCATCTTGGCTCTGGCAGAAAGGAAACAGAGTCGACCGATCTCGGTCCCAAGCCGATGGAGGCTTCCTTCCTTCGGCGATTCCTTTCGGGGTCAGAGAATGGTGTGACCCTTGCAGAGTGCAGAGTCCTTCCTTGCGACGCTACAACAGCAACCTCCAGACATGGCAAGTCCCAGGGTAAGACAAACTGCGTTAGTGAAAGAAAAGAAGTGACGCATTAAGAAGCTACTAGGAACAAAGGGCATCGCTACTAGGAGCAAGGACGCTATTAGTAGCTCCTGGCCTTGCTACTAGTAGCAAGAAGCTACTAGTACAGTCATCCGAGAAACTCAGCTTTTCAGCCTTGCTGAGAAACTCATGTGACTTGGAGACCACATGGCAGTACTTCCACCGTAGCAACAAGGCGCCTGTTCTTTGATGGCAACTTCCTGACCACGCAAACGGAACCCAACCGTGCTGCGCGTGCCCTTCTAGGCGGGGCAGAGTGGCTGATGTCCAAGATGAACGGATTCAGCTTGGACATGACATTTGCATATAAATTACCGTTTTTGTTACTGAAACAAGTGTCTGTAGGGACCAGAGGTTGACCGGGCTGTTCAGCTCGTTCCTTCCACACTGCGAACGCCAAATGAGCGTATCGAGTCCTTGCCCAGCTCAAACGTTGTGCCCAGACAGGCACAGGATATGGCAGGAGCCAAGGTCATGGAAGATGGCAGGATGTGGCAGGTGTCTATGCTGGATCGCTGCATTCCCTGAAACCTGCTTTATTCAGAACGCACCACGTTCTGGTGTATCTCAGGAAATCCCAGCTACCACTCCATGCGGATAGTTTGTGACTCCAGTATATTATTCAAATATGGTGTTTCTTCCCAAGCAATTGTTCTCTACTGCAGCTGTAACTGGATCTACTGGGTGTTTAGACGCTAGACGAGATGCTTTCGACAGAAGTTCTTTGCGTCAGGCTACAAGTCCTTGGGCAGTTTTGTGGTCTCCTGTGTCAGCAGGAGCTGAGATGTTTGAAAAGGTTTGGGATCGCAAAACTCCGTATGTGTGTAGTTAGTTTTTCCTATTCACTCCCAAACACTCATCGTGCTTGTACTATGTGTTTATACATGACATAGATGATATTGTATTGTATAGCATAAATATAAAACCGTTTAATGTGTTCAAATCTGGAATTCAAGAGCTATATATTTCAGCATAATGTGTCTTTACCGAGGGCAAGTATCCATGCGCTTCTGGGCATGTGTTTGCGTCCTGTCATATGTTGTGTTTTCTCACTAGATCTGATTGTGGTGGTAAGACAATCTCAAGTTGCATGGTCGTTGGAACCGAAAAATCCAACCATGCAATGTCATCATATAACGGTTCCAACTGCACGATTTTTCGGTTCCAACGTCACCCACTGCCGTTGCCGGGGAAAAGGCCCCGGTTCCCGGCCAGTGAAAAGGACGACGGGCGTTGAAAGGCCCATCAGCCGGAAGGAGGCGACTGCCGCGCGACGATGGACGACGAAGCCTGAAAGGTTGATTTGGAAGAAAGGATGACTTAGCTGCGTCAACATACCCCATCATGCCCCAAGAACATCCCCATCATGCACCATTTCAGTGTGAGCGGCCACTGAACAGCCTGCAATCTTGAAAGCCACATAGCTACTGTAGCAGCTAGGCGGTCGATCGGACGACGCAGGTGGCAGACCTCATCATGCGTCGGCAACATGGAGGTGATGCTGAAAGGACCAGTGCCCGAACCGAATCAAAAATAGGTCTTTTGAGGAGGCCGAACAGCTGGAGTTGTTTTTGCCCATGCAAAATGCTTGTTTTTTGGGGGCCTACTGATGCCTATCGAAATCTGTGAGTATCGTATTTGTCTAAAGAGAGCAAAGTAGAGACACCATTGTGGTCTGAGTACGTCAGCTATTGAAGGGCTTTGAAGGTATCTCAAGGTTTCTCAGCCAAGCCCTTTGGTTCGATGAGTGTCAAAGGCAGGTCATTAGACCGTCATTGGATGCATGTTGACCCGATGAAACCGCTGATTTGGCTGGTGTCAGGATCAGCAGGGAGCATGAAGATCAGAAGGCCCGCATGGACGCCTTTTCCAAGCCAGAACCTTAATGCCTGGTCGGATCATGAATACTCAGGATTTTGAGTTAAACACAAATGGATAAGACAGCATGAGATGGCAGGATCTCAAAATGAAGTCATTCTGTTCTCCCAAGTTCGTGTACTGTATACTAAAGGTTCCATTGCACATCAACCACCTTCAACCATCCTAGGCTCGGGGGTCAGACTGTGGAGTTGAGTGGCTAGATGAGCAAAAGCCGGCCGCACAAGACGGCGGGATGCGTCCATTTGGACCGTCCAGTTGACGGCCGAGGCGGCCTTCAAAAGGATAGGTGTCTAACTGGGAGACGTCCGGCAGAATACCCCAAGGTTCCCAACAGACCATTGGTACATAAGAACACATTGTGATAATGAATTGGTTTGAAACGGTGTCCTGCTGTTGTAAAGAATGTAGAATCGCCATTTATCGATCTTGCTCTATGTGGAGTACATCAGTGATAGAGGAGCCGTGCTCTATGTAGCACTGTGCTCACATGGTGAATCCCTGGTTCCCCTAGAAGGACTACGTGTATGTACGACTAAGACTAGGTGACTGCCGCTACATGCACTCAAAACAGATGTACCAGGCCAGGGACGATGAACGGACCAAGATGGACAGAGGAAGCAAGGGTTTAGAGGCCAGGGCCCTGGCCTCGGCTAAAGCTGTACAGCGCTGGCCGGACCCAGTGGCGCAAAGACCAAGAGATCCAAAAGAAAGAAGCTGTTTTGGGGAACCCAGGAGTTCATCAGGAGTTCTAGAGTTTCAGGATGTTTAAATGTTTGAGTGGTCCTGTGACATGGGTTCTTTTTTCAGCTGACAAGTTGCATTCATGATAGCCCTGCCACCTTGAAGCAAGTATGCTTGGTCACATGTTCAATGTCAAGTTGTGCATGCATACATGCAATGTAGATAATTATACGGCACAATGATCGAACCGAAGATTCGCCGGCCTTTTGGCTTGGAACAGTCGGAGATTTCTCCGTTGTCCGATGACCCTTTTCTGCTGCTACTCCACCGGTCACAAAGTTGAACCAGACGATATGAGGACAACCAGCTCTCCGACCAGCATGACCATCGGAAAGCCTGAAGTCTCGCAGGACAGCGAGGCCAGGATGTTTGAGATAGAACTTGGCGGATTTTGATTTGACGATTCATGAACGAATGGTTTGCGAGGACGTACTGTAGTATAGACATTACTTGTGACACGCACAAAGAGAAGGTCAGAATGTCACGGTGTGTCTCAGAATCGAACTCTGTGCTCTGCTGAAAAAGCACACGTGTCAGGGGCTGTCAGGGGCTCCAAGATGCCTTTCCTTCATAAATCAAGGGTTGCGCAGGGGGCTCGTTCCACCGCTATCGAACATTCTTCTTTCCAAGGAATGTGAACCAGTCCCAGTCCAAGTTTCACTATTTTACACTGATTGGCAAGCAATACTGCAAGTGTCAACCCCCATGGGCCCCAACTTAGTGACGAAGTCGGAAGCTGCTCCTTTGTCCATCCCCATCGCTCACCGCCGAACTGAGCCGTTTGGAGCGCCAAACGGGAACCGACGGCCAGCGACGAGGCCTTCAAGACCCGGCCGTTTGTGGATGGCGCCAAGACCTTGATCGGTGGCCAGGCCGCTGTGCAGAAGGGGGAGAGTTGGAGAGCACGGTGTTTTGGGAGAGTTGGAGTGTTTTTGGGCATTGGCAAGTTGGAGTGGAAGAGTGAGAGGGTGGTGTGGGGTGGAATATATTTGATGTACTGTATTGATGTGGAGAATATATTTTGGGAAGATTGGAAGTCTTGGGGTGACATTAGTGACATTGAATATGTGTTAACCAAGTGGATTCTGTTGGGATTTCAGAAGTGCACAAGATCCATTTAGTTTAATCTCTACAGGCCATTTTGGGGGGTTTGATCGACATGCGAATTGCCACATGAGTCGTTCCACGCATGAGCTCGCAGCTCGTCTCATCGCTTCACTGAAGTCTTCGATCGTTCAGGTGAAGCCCTGGACCGGCATTTTTTCGGAGATCTACTCCCCAGTCTATTGCACCGAGACGGGCGAGAGGATTTGCATCGGCTGCTCGCTTTGGGTCCGGAACCGGCTGAGAGCATAGTGTTTGGGTGGATGAAGTTTGGCTGAGTTTTTGGTCATCGGTTCGGTGCTTTTCCGCGATCATGTACGACAAGGCTGGTTTCATCAGAGTTTGAAGCACAGGAGCACCACACTCACAAAAATCCAAATGGCTTTGGATATCTAGGGATTTGGATACCGTTCAACCCTAAAGGCTTGCCTGGTTCCCCAAAGTGCTTTATATAATTCCTTGCAGTGGGAAGATCTCTCTCGGTCAGCCAGCCAGCATATCACCTGAAATCTCTTGAACTACTGGCATCGACTTGCCGCTGAGGCAAGCAGGCCACCATGTCACCCAAAGAGGCCATGGAAGCAGTACACGCTGCGGCGAAGGTGGGGCACCGCTGTGAAGGACACGTGGCAGGTCCACAGGGGCCCAACTTTCCGCCCCAATTGGTGGTTTGGAATCCTCAGGGAGGCTTTGTGCATCTTTGTGCCGTGCCCGGCTGGCCCTTTGGATGTTCCAAGCACACGCAAAAGGGGATCAGGATTTGATGTATACGAGGTTTTGTAAGTCTCGTGACAGTTGAATCACACATTGTCTATAATCAATGAGAGCTTGCAAAATCGTCAAAATCCTCATGAACGCAGAAGATGATCAAAGTAGACCTCTTCCCAAAACGTCCAGCCGCCAGGCCTGGGACCTGGGACGTGGGGAGTGGCCCCAAAAGAGCTTGCAAGAACGCATTGCTGTGGCCTGGGGTCCTGGACTGTCGGATGGAAAGATGGGTCGCATGGTGGAGAATCAGGGTGTTTTTCTGTTCCTAGTTCAGTTTTCGGAACGGCAAACACGTGTGAAAGAGTCTTTGGGCAAATGGAACTAGAAACTAGATTAACTAGATGGAAGTACTGTAACTTAGTTGAATGATTTTGCGTTTGAAGTGCAATGCAACATCACAGCCTGAAGCGGCTAAGGTGGAAAGGCTTGTGGGAAAATTGAAAGAGAAGAGGATGGAAATTGCCAAGGTGGGATTATCAGTTGTCAGGTGAAATTGCCAGTCATTTTGCATGTCATGATTCACTTAACATGGACAAACATGTTTTCCATGTTTTCCAGATGCCTCTCTGTCCTTTGTCCGTGCGCTTCGTGTGTTGGCTTCAGGTGCTTCAGTGGGAGATCTGTAAGAATGAGCCCTGGACGTCAACCACGGGGGTTTCAGTTGACCAACTTTGCGGTCGTTGATGGTGGGTTGGGGAGTGGTGGGGACAAAGAGCCTGGATCTCACTTGCCACAACTGAGAGTGAGAACTCTTCACATTCCTATTTCATGTTATTTCGATCCACTTTTTCAGCATAATACTATTCTCGATACATTATGATTTCCTGTTCACGTCGATCTCAATTCCAAGCTTATTCGCTTTGCAAGGGTACGAAACTTGTTTGTTGCCATGACCCAAAAGCAAGACCCCTGTTGTATAGGCACCAACGAGTCTTCTCCCCTCGTTTTGTGTGCTTTTGTTGCAAATGCCTAGGCACACGGTCAAATGGGTCGGCACGGTCGACGTGCTTTATGGATCGGTTCAAGTCACAATTTTCTGGAACAACTCAGAATAGCAAGGATAGTGGAAAAGTCCTGATGAAGAGGTAGTTTCCGGAGTTTGCAGCAGATTTGCTTGGCCACGGATCCTTCATCCAAAAACGCATGTCACTGGATTCTGGACAGCGCCATGGACTCTCACCTGTTCTTTTCCTCGACTTGGACGGGGTTCTCCACTCCGTGGAAGCCCGTGAGGACGAGTTCTTTTCCGACCGTTGTGTTTGTGCCTTGCGACGTTTGCTTGACAGCTGCAATGCCAAAGTGGTGCTCTCCTCTACCTGGAGACTTTCCACACCCTTGCGCCAGGAGGCATACTCGCAGCTTGAAGAGCGAGGGGTACAAATCGTTGGAGAGACACCTAAATTGCGCAGTCGTGCAGCTGAAATCGAGGCTTGGCTAGAAGAGAATTGCCCTTCCCAGTGGCTGGTGCTGGATGACCTGCCTTTAGACGAACTTCCAGCCGAACATGTGGTGAGAACGGATCCCTTCGCGGGGCTGACCGAATCAGATGTGGAGGAGGCGCTTCAGAAAATACACAAAATGGCATCGGCATCAGGTCCACCGCAATTTGATGGTTCTGACATCCAGACTGAGAGGGCAAAGTGATCAACGCGCACCGAGAGTTTGCTTACACATCTTACACTGGGCTGCGATTGCTCACACCCGGCGAAGGACCTGGCGCAACTGCGACAGCCAGAGAGAAAGATCCTGCAGATTTGCAGTCGAAGGTCGCGAAGAGGTTCAATCTGGAATCTCCCAAACTGCACTCTTGCCTCAATTTGTGGCAGACAAGAGAGACTCTCACACAGAAATTGATTTGAGCAGTCAGCTTCTCAGAGATAGCCACGAGCAGCCATCAAATCTGCAGGCCTGCTCATCCGTTGCAGTTCTTCAAAATTAAGATTCTGACAAGAAAGGATTATCGCTCTCCTGTTGGATGAATGTTGGTTGATGCATCTTCTGGGGGAAGTGGCAGATACTTGTAACATTTAGCGTGCAAGAATATCACACGTTCAACAGACACTAATTACTAATTCTAGCTTTATTGAAGTGGCATGAATCCTGTGCTTTTCTTGTTGGGTAATCTACTAGTAATAAAGGGCATCGCTACCAGGAGCAAGGACGCTACTAGTAGTTCCTGGCATTTCTACTAGTAACAATGAGCAACTAGTAACAAGGGCATCGCTACTAGCAACAAAGGGCATCGCTATAAGCAGCTCATTTGCTGCAGTACAAACAAGAAGCAATTCTTCAGGATCCTCGACCTTCGTCGCCCAACCTGCGGTTTACCGCACCCGGTCTCGAAACCGCCGATGGAACCACTTCTGAGGACGCAGACTCGGTCAAGGACAGCCAAAGCTGCAAAGCCACGGTTCGGCATGGTTCGGCCATGTTCACCGTTGAGCCAGTAGAGCAAAAAGATGTGGCCCCCCTAAAACCCATGGAGATGCATTCATGTTTTCATTTGTTTTCTGTTTTCTTTGATGATATTTTGGATTTGATATGTTTGAGAGGTCAAACATTTTTTCTCGCCCTGGTTGTAACTTGTTGGAGCAGGAGAGATCTTCTTAATCTTCTTGTACTCCTGCCATTCGACACCCAAACTCTAGAGGCTCGACATCCAGGAGTTTGATCGTACCATGGACTTTGTCTCTGCCTTGATTGAGACTGCCCGCAAGATGAATTCTGGTCCAGCTGTTTGCCAGGAGAAACATGGAGAAACGGGGGGGAGTGATGCCGACAAGAATGGGCCAGCCTATAGCGGTTCCAGTTTTCAGGTTTCATGGGTTTGAACAGGCTAGCAGAGTTCACGAAAGTCAATTAAGTACAATGCTGCGCTTCATTAAAAATGGAACAACATGCCATAATATGTTCCTGGTACCACAACTCTGTGAGATCTCCTGTCATTTGTGCCTAATTGATGACTTGGATTTTGCTTTTCACCTAGATAGGGAATAAACGACTGTATGCCTTATGCTACTGTTGTGTTGCCCACAACACTAACACTGCCGCACTCAACCAGCCCGTCTCATGCCAGGATTACTGTATATATATATAGACACAATTGACAAGAGAGATCTTGTTCCAGAATAGCAATGAATAGCAACTCTGGTTTGTTTGTTGATATTCCAGGCCTCCAGGTACATGGCTTTGGGCAAGACCCGATCCCCTTGTTGAAAGACATGTCTTGCCACGCCGATCGTGCTTCATTCGACGTCTCCAGGAGGGCATCCACGCCATCTTGAAGCGGTCACCCATGGGCGTTGCGAGTCAGCAGAGCAGAGAAGCACAGAGGGCGAGTGGTTAACATTTGTTGAGAAACTGGAGCGGAGTCTATACAAAATTGCATAGTTATTGGAATCTTGTATCTACTCTACTAGTATCTACATGTATCTACTAGTACTCTACTCATTAAAAACATTTTTAAAAAATACAAGTCTGTTTTAAAGATACTTGTATAAATGTTCGGTTGGAGACATTGTCGATCCTTTCAGTAAGTCTTTGTTTGCGGGTCTGTTTGTTTGGGCTTGCTTTTCCTTCGACCGGAGACGAGGGTGACTGAGGTGATGATGAATCTGGGTCCATCCAACTACCCCTTCAATGAGACGTACGCCACGTTGATCCCTGTTCCTTGGCAAGACGTAAGAGCAAAGCGCTACACGCCGGTGATGTGGTCGGTGGTCGAAGCGATTGTCATCCTGAGGCGATACTGATGGGAAATTCCATCGTCATGAAGGTCCCCAACACCGGTGGATTGGCGCACTTCCTCACCATGGAGGTCAGAGATGGGAAACGAAGAAGTCCCAGAGTCAGCAGCGGAGATGGGCAATGGTTTCAAGTTGGTCAGACTGGTAACATGTCGGTGAGGGGAGAACATGGCATGTTCACACTTTTGGAGGCCTATGCTGAATGCTTCCCTCCTGGTGTCGTGAACTTCATCTCTGGCCGCGGCCGAGACACCATGCCGCCCTGTCCTCAGCTGGCATCGCTGACATCGTGAAGTGCAGGGCCGGGCTTTGTCCCAAATTTGATGTTGTGAAGAAACAAGGACGCTTGTTGCGGCTTGTTCATTTGTGGGACGACTTGCCTACCAACGTCACACACTTCAGATCCATACAGTCCATACATCACTAGGACAAAGTTGTTCTTCTTGAAACTTCCTCATTGACAACGCGTTCCCCTTAGAGTCCTGCAAGACACTTATGGCATCTCAGCAGTGGAATTTCCTCCCTCCAAAGCTCTTTACTTGGAGGGACTGTCCCACAGTGGCCAATCGAAATGGGAGAATGTTCGACCGCAGCTGAAGAACCGTAGAGATTGTAAGAACTGAAAATTGCCCAAAGAACCATGACTTCCTCCTGACCGCGTATTGACCTGATCGTAAAGTGTGTGACATGACACCTGCAGATGTCACACCCGCAGCATGCCGAACATTCCATGACACCTGCAGCCAGCCAATCGGACAAATCGAGCCTCGGCACCTTTTCCAACACTCAGGACCCCTCTCAACTTCCCAAAGGAAAAAAGCCAAAAGACAAATACACCTCGCTCGAAAGTCCGAAATCACTTTTCTCCGCTTCTATTTCGCTCCACTGACTGCGCGTGTTCGTGCCACCCAGAGAGCTGATCAGCGAGGCCTTGCATGGAGAGTGGCTTGGTGGACATCTTTGCCTTCATCGGCTCCTCCAAAGCAGCGGACGCCTTGGTGAAGGTGCCGATGGCGTCGTTTTCATTCAGCCCATCAGATGGCCTATGATGCCCTTGATTGGTTGCTCAAAAAAGAGGGGATACCCATGGTTATGTACACCCAAATAGGCATATTGTTGCTCCAACCGGTGGATGCAGGTTGGGGTCGTGACTGTGACATATGTTGAATATAGACTAATATAGATGAACAATGATCCCACTGCCACGTATGCCTACATTGACCCCAAAACCACCCCAGTGTAGCATATATGGCGGTCCCATTAGTCGTGTTTGGGGATCATATTTTGTCAGTCACCACCAACGATGCGCACTGAGACATCCACCAGGCACATCCTCAGCCGCACCGTTTGAAGAATTTGCTGTCCCTGGATGCCAAAAACTTGGCCATCGCAGCTCGGGTGGATTCAATGGCGTTACATGTCTTCAGGACCAATGTTGGAAGGTCTGACTGAACATATCTTCCAGATGGGGAGGATGGAATTTCATGTTCAGACAGTCTCAATGATATGGTGATACTGAATTTGAACGGGGGTGCAATCTCCAGATCCCAACAAACAATTCGGGAAGTGTGGATGAAGCACCAGTGGTTGGATGATGTTGGAAGGCGATTGGGAGGCAACTTACGATTTGCGCTTGGAACCTTGGGTAAGGTTGTAAGGTTGGTTCACCTTGGGAAGATGCCGCTCAGCAGGTTACCAGGGACACTTTGCTATTAAGCTGCTTCTTTGCGTCGAGTTCGCCCCACTGGTAGAGGAGTACGTCGTCTTCCGAACTCGGGACCCTGCCATCGTTCCGACGCACCGACCGCAATCGACGTGACCTGCGTGACGGTCGACCTATGAGGTGCTTCCCGATGCCGACCTAGACGTCGCTGTGAAGGTCGAGCAGCTGAGCTTTCATGGTCGAGTCAGGGTCGTTTCACTTGGGGGGCCGAGGCTGCAGGGATTGCTGAGTGACATCTAAGAGGGATAGGATGGGGCCAGTGCAAGTACTTTGATGGATGAAAAGCTTAAAGCGGCCAACCGGGTGCAGAATGTTTGTAACTTTTGGTCTCGGAAAGCTCTAGAGCAGTTTTGCGTATGATGTATGATGATGTAGGCAAAGATCATATCTGGAAGATACGCTGGGATGCAATAGGTTATTGCAAGCTGGAATGGCATGCGGTTGATAAATGTGTTTGTTATTTTTTGTATTGTTTTGTTTGGCTGCATATGGAGTGGGATTGTGTTCTTTTTTTGCCGCTCACAAGACATGACGAGAGACTCAAGCTCCTTATATAATTACATAATTGTACTGAGCCTCTCTTGATTTTGGGATGTCGGGTTTCTCGAATGATGCACCCGCACCCACAAAAAGAAGCAGTACGACTTCCAGACGAACGCTTTTTGGTGAATGTTCAAGGTCCACGACTTTCCGGAATCAGCACGTTCAACCCCCTTTGCTGGTGCATGGAGAGAATTCACATGGAACTTGATGGCATGGACCGACAAACGGTTCCTCCACACACCACGTTTTGTTATGTTTTTCTTTTTTTCAGGTTCCATGTTCATCTTCCAGAGCGTATGTCGTCATTGAACATATTAAAATGGAGAGAAGTTGATCTCTCCGCCACGAGAGATGTTGGTTTCCCCCAAGCTCTCTTTCGTCTCTTTGCCCTTCAAAGCTGCGACCAGGAGATTGTTGCGGGCAGCACCTCTTTCAATGGGCAGCGGTGCACAGCCATCAAGTTGCAGCCTTTGCGGGTAGACCGAAGTCAGAGCGGCGAGAAAAGCATCTTAATGTGTGCTCAAAATCTGGTTTGTCTCCCTCCCTTTCTTTTTCTTCTCTATACAAATTCTTGGTGATGCTGACCGTGAAACGAACATGTTGGACAAATTTGGCCCCATACCCACAAAGATAATGAAATATCATCAGTCATATCATCACCCATCGATGCCAAGGACCTGATCAGCCAATCGCCACTTGTTTGAGGCTGGTGATGGTCCACAGCAGCATCGCTGAGACCTTCAACCAGAAGTTCTGCAGCGCTGTGGCAGCTCTGCCCTGTGGCCTGCCTTTCGGAAAGAATCACATTACCCCGCTGGTCCGGACCGCCCAGAGGCTGTTCCACAGTTCAGAGTGATGATGATGATGATGATGATGATGGAAAGGACGACCAGCTCAAGAAACATGTGGAAAAAACTGTGGGAAAGGGAGTGTCAGTGTGCTGGGTATGGCATCAAAGTGTCCAGAAAGACTTAGATATGATCAGCCTTCTGACAGCTGCAAAGGTTCATGTTTCCGTCACTTGCTAATGACACCTTTGTTCCTGGTTCGCCCTAAGGCCAGGTGAAGAAGCCCTTTGAAGCCCCGTTTGAACTCGCCCACATGGGCGAAATCGATGCAATCCGGTCAGGATTGCACTCTTTGACAAATTGGTTTCACTTTGCCCTTCGGAATTCCCTGTGATTCGACCCACGTAGCGCTCTTCTTCGATGCACTCTCGACGTTCTTCAACCGCTCGACCCACAGCCTTCAAGGTCGATGGGATCAAGGTCGATGCATTGCTTTGTTCGCGAATACCCTGCCTGAAGCGAACGCAATAACACGAGGAATTGGCTGCCTCCACGGGTTCGGCGCTTGAACTTTGATCATAGCTTACTGTAGACCGCCTATGGTAACCTTTCTCCAACCCCATCTTGAAGAGCAAGATGATGCAAGATGTACTGTAAGAGTAACAACCATGTCCTGGCCCCGGCACGGTCGGAACTGAGCCACGTGGACTGGACGCTCAACAGCAACAAACCATATGCCGAACAGGAACAAAGAACAAGGATAGTGACAACAAGGCGTAACCCAAAACTGGAGCCCCGTCAAGCACCACAACAGTAAGAGACAAGTTTGCAATTATGATCATTATGCAAGGCAACCAAAAGCATAAAAGCATGAAGCTATGATTGTTTAATTTGCTAAGTGTTCCAGTGTGAATTCCGTGCCTCGCCCACAACAGTCAGCGTTTTGAGTACCTCAGAGGGCGTCTCGCGCCGAAGATACCGAGGCCTGCAACCCCACTAGCTTCATGCAATCCTTGACAGAGGACCCCGGCCGGCCCGGCCAGGGATGAATTGGGCCTAGCAAAGACCCCCAAGGAATTTGGATGAAACAACAATGTTTGGTATTGATAACAGATGATAGGAGCACTGCAGGACAGTTGATCCTTATATTATTGTTATTGGCTGTTGGAATTATATATAATGAATTAGGTTGTATTAGAGTGGGATCCAATGAGTGGGGATGTTTACGTGTAGATGGTTGTGTCAAACATCTTGTAGTCCGTCTTCCTGCAACTGCGCACGTTTGAAGAGCATCAAATCCAGCCGCTTCTATGCAATAGCACTGAAAAAGTAAGTGGGGTATATGTTCCAGCAAGCCTCCACTACACTCGCCCCCAAAGACATTGGGTCCGTCCACTTGATTCGCGTTCGCTTTCGGCCTTGCTTGGTCCGTCCATGTCGCCAGAAAAGACTCAGATCTTCCGGGCAAATCTACTAGGAGCAAAGACGCTACAAACAGGGCTCCTGGCCTTACTACTAGGAGCAAGAAGCTACTAGGAACAAAGGGCATCGCTACTAGGAGCAAGGACGCTACTAGCAGCAACCAAAAACGCTTCCCCCGGAAGTGCCACGTCCACGGTGCACCGTCAGGACGTGAAGTCCAAAGGCGCCCGGGTACTGAACGAAGCCGTGGGTGGAGGCCCGCCGGAGTGAAACCGAGGGATCCTGGGATGGTGAAAGTTCATGTCAAAGCATAAAATCTGAGAGATATAAATGCTTTGCGCGCCTGTTTGAGACATGTGGATGCATATACTGACCGATCACCATTCGAGCCCCGTTCGAGTCTTTTGGAGACGTAATGCATTCGGGAGGCGAAGCGTGCAAAGTCTTTTTTTACAGATGTGCTTTCCTAAGCTTGTTCAAAAGAGCTTCTTTTCACCTGTTGCATACTTGTGGCCACTTCAACTGCAGTGCGCTTGAGTTGGGATCAATTCTTTGGTGCTCCAGATCATCTCTCACAAGGTGTCCGAGATTTCAGGTATAGAGAGTGGATGCGGAACCAACGTTGCCTGAGACTGTGTTTTGGGCCCAGGCGCGTTCTCAGGAAATCTCAGGAAGCTCTGGCTCATATGGATTCTTCATTGGTCTTTTTCCCGTGTGGAAGGTCATCAGCAAGGATCACTATGGCCTCTAACCATCTCATGTCAGGCAATGGTTTGCATGTCATCCACTTTGACTCACACGTCTCCTCATTCAAGGGTTGGGAAGGGCCTGAAAACAGGTTGAACCATTGGTGAGCTGTAGGGCCAGGTGCTGGTACAAACCTACACATTGTTTTCTCCAAGAACATCCTGACATGTCCTACCTGACCCTTTGATCGATGAGCCTGAGCCATGGCCTTGGAAGGGATGCTGCTTTGCGTGGTGCGCCCCTGAAACGCCTTTTGAGATCTAGATCCAAGAAGGTAAGCAATTTTGGAGGGCCCTTCCATGAAAGAAACAACCTGGGATCTAGCTTTGACACAGAGGTGAAGGGGAGGGGGATGAGAGATAGTTGGAGGCTGCTACTGCGCGTACTCGTAGCTTCTTGCTCACAGTCTTGGTTGGCCTGGTGGTCGGCACATCATGTCGCTAGTGGCGACCCCGTTGGATGGTGGGATTGCGGTTGAACGTCCATGGAAGTTCAAGCTGAGTGGCACTCGGGGGAATTAGTTGGCCTATCGCATCACTATAGCTACGTCTAGATTCTAGATGGAGTTCTGTAGATGATCGATGATGAGGCTAAGGGCTTGGTGATCCATGGTGGCATCAAGACCTACATGGAAGAGTACCAGCCACAAATGCTGGAGAGCAAAATTTTTCCAATGGATACCGGATGTTGTATACATAATTTTTTGGGGGGGTCCTGTGGCTAATGGATCATTGGTTGGAGCTGGGACGAAGATGAAAGCCATGTACCTCTGCATATATCAATTCGAACTACGGATGGCATCCTGCGCCCCAATGTTCTGTGATCCGGGTAACCCTTTTCATCCCATCCTTGGCTAAGTTCAGGGAGAAAGACCTGGTGTTTAACTATGAGGTGATCAAGAAGGGCCCCACCCTGTAGAGACTTTGAGGTCTCTTGGTTCCGAAGTGATCTCAGTTTTGCTTCGAATCAGGCTAGTCACCTTGGACCTTAGAATGTTTGGATTTCGGGTCAGACCGTTGATCAGCTGAGTCATCAATCATCGGTTTGCTGCCGGGTGGCCCGTGGAAGATGTTGTTGGCCGGTTGGTGGCCTCTCTTTGTGTATCCCAGACCAGTGGGGTGGAAGAGTCTGGGCTGATGGGCTACAATCATGGTACCAACCGCTTCCTGGTTGCAAGCTGTGAAGCTTCCAACTGACACAGCCATTGGTGTATAGTGCGAACCCCGGCCATACTCTGGTTATGTGCCAGCAGCAACTTGGAAAACTTCGATGCCGATGCTGGTCACTGAGCTGTCGCGCCATGTGGCAGTGAAGCACGTCTCAGAGCTTGAGCGGTGGAAAGGAGATTGCGGAAGGGTGGCTGGCAGTGAACATGATCATGGTTTTGGCTTCCAGGTTTTTTGAGGGGCAACTGCACCACGTGAAACTTTTTTGGTTGTCTCCGAGAGTGGGCTTGGAACTCAGTGTTGCGCAAGCAGGCATTGAAACCCAAATACCTTGTATGCGGGAGGTTTCGGGATAGGCTTCACTGTTCCGGGTAGTTCAACCTTTCAAGTGTTGGTTGCAGATTGTGTCAAGCAATCAATCACTGTGACACCTCAAAAGCGAGGACGTCGGCTTGTACTTTGTGGGGCTGCAGACTGAGAAAGCCTGGAACTCCAAAAGCGAGTTAATGTTCTATGTCTTTAGTTTTGGTGAACAACACGATCAAACAATAACGAAAACGAAGAAACGTCGAAAAGGTGGACATTCCAAGCCCCAGGCAAAGGTGATGTGTTCTTTAAAACTTTCAGGGTGTTTTGCCTACAAAGCTGAACAAAAACAATATACAACACACGTCTTCATACAGCGGGCTCAGGAATTCTTCCAGGTTAGAGAATTGTTCTTGACCGGACGAACCAAAATCGTTTTTTGATTGTTTCATGGAAATGGTCCATTGCATTGCAACAATAACAATGTGTTTTTTCAACAGGATCTTGCTGCCTCCCGTAGTGGGTTCTGTTTTGACTTCAATTCAGCCAAGGCCGCAGGCTAACAGCTAACATGTTGCAATTTTGGGTTCATGAGTCACACATATTGTACCGAATATGTTACTTGGAGTGTTGCTCGGCACTTTTCACATTTAACCCAAAAGAACATCAACCTGCCGTCCCATCGCCACAAAGTTCCGCGAAGGCCACTGTGATCGAACTCTCTTCGTGCCGGCGGTTTCTTGGAGGAGGAAAACAGGGCGCCTTTCAGTGGTCAATCGCCTTGACCACCGTGAATTTATCACTCCAAAAGGAACTGTAACCTGTAACAGTGAGGTCTGAGACAGAGAAGGGCTTTCGGAATCTTTGGGATGCATAAATATGTTTTTCTTTTGTGCAGTGATTGTTGAAACCTTACATTGGTCTTGGCAACACTACTTGATGACTTGGGCAAAGTAAAATTTGTTGAAGGTAGTAGACATCCAGTATCACTGAAGCAGCCACCCCACCCCTTTGGCTAGTCTTAGGGTGTTTAGATTGGCCAGAGGCACGTCAAATCACAGCTGACCACCTGGCTATGTTTCTATTACTAGACGGTACCAGCACGTGACCTCCCAAACGAAGCAGTCGGAGGGTCAGTCCGAGGCAAGCTTTGTTGGTCCAAGAGACTTGGATGGTGTTCAAGTTGATGAAAGGGTGCATGGTCTGATGGTGGTCCAGTCCTTTCCTTGAACCAGGCTCAACGAATCTCAACGAATCTCAACGACCTCGACATCCCAAGCTCCACCAGAACTGAGGTTGTCTACCCGGTGACCGCAGAGATGCAGCTCTGGACTGCGGAGCAGTTCGGCCCGGTGATCCCGATCGCCACCTGGCAAGCAAGCGGAGACCTACGGAGGTGGACCACCTGTCCTACTTGGAATAAGTGTGTTCATGGTTTGGAAAAAGTTTCCAAATTTTTAGACAGCTTTTGGATGCTTTTGGTCCCCCAGACAAGCTTAGAGTCTCATGTTTGTTGCTTTTGGACAAGCATCGAGAGGCAACACATTGAGAGTCAGTGGGGGTAATTATGAGGTAATGAATCAAGTTGATACAATCAATACAATTTGTAGTCCAAGAGGCATGGCCCTTTCAAAGGCCAGGTTACGTATCCAGACATATCCAAGGTGTTTGTTGTTTTCCCAGTGCAACTCCGGCCAAGGCCCCTTTCGACCACCTTGAGACGCCCATCGAGTGGCTTCGGAAGATGCTCGGCTCCGGAAAAGGGCGACGCCAAACAAACAATGGCTTTGCCGGAACATGGGAGGAGCCTCCCTGACCAGGCCACGGAATCATTTTAGGGTGTTTGTGCCCCCAAAAGGGATGTCAGTCATAGGAACATGCAGTAAAGGACTGCATGTAAGTTAATTACCTTGTTTGGAGACATACACACACAGAGATGGATCCTCATAAGACCAGAACGGGATGTTTGGCAATCACCTCTCAAGCTCATGATGTTGTAACGTGGTGCGGGTAGCGAGGGTATGGGAGAAAAGAATGAACACTATTATATAGGATATGCACGTTATGTTGTAACACATATATAGTTTGGGGTGTTAGCGGTGAGTTAGTGATGATCAGTGATTTGCATACTGCAACGTCAGACAGTGTTGATCAACCGAGGGTTTGCTTCCATGCGTCCAGACACTGAGGATGCCATTTGGCCAGCAGACAGCCCTGTTCACCTCCAATCAGGCAGGGTACCATGAAAGCTGCACTAACTTGTCGCCAAGCTTCTTTGGAATTCGCAGCGTGTTGGAAATAATTCGGAACAACTTCGGAGACGTGTGCAGCAGAGAGGTGTCGTAGCAGGCCTTAAGCACTTACACTCTCGATCCCATCGTGTCCGATGTGGCGAGTGAAACGGTGTGCCTGTCCGCGCGAGGCGGCAGCGGCTCCAAGCAAGGAGCTCTCCCAGCTGTTGGACATGTGTGCGCTGTCCACCTGCAGAGTAAACCTCAACGCTCAATGCCAGCACGAAGCTGAGACATCACTTTTGTTCCGGGAAGCCAGGAGAAGCCATATGTTTTTATTCGAGTGCTGGAGATGAATCCATCTTGTGTTGTAGCGTGAAAGACACTTCGAGTGAATGGTCTTGAGTCTTGAGTTGTAATTAAATATTTCATAGGTGTTGGGTAGTTAGTTTGCTGAAACCACTATCTTGAGCTCAATCAATTATTGAGCTGAAAACAATGTTCTCATGAATAATCCATAGAGGATTTTAGAGGCGTTTGTTTGAAACGACCAGAGTCATCCCGGTCTTCTTGAACATGTGGGCACCATGGGAAGGACTTGACAGCCTGCAAAGAACAGGCAACATCCACAAAAACCTAAATATTTGTTCTTTTCAGGAGTTCATATCAAAACCTGCACCCACACTGCCAAAACTGTTGACTCATATTGACCCCAAATCGCCCCAACCGACTGAGGCGTGGGCCTGATATGTTCCCCTTCGCCGGGCGACGCTCATCCGTTGCTTGGCCGTCCACTGTCAAAGGGTAGGACTTCATTCTCATGTTACTTGGATACCTGAAAACAGAAAAACACATGTCCTGGGTTGCAGTTGAAGGAAAGACTCTTATACCGGCGGGTAGACATGTTGGTAGGATGTAGGAGGAATCTTTTCATACTCTAGACAGCTTGAGCCATAGCCTGCATTGCGCAAGCTGGGTCCAACCCGGTACAGACCCGGTTTTTTGCACGGGTATGCTCCATATTCAGGTTGTAATATTGTGTCCACCCACATTAACGTGTATTCCAAGCAAATGGATCTTATTGGATCTTCATCAGAACCTTCACCAAGAGAGCACCCCAACAGCCCTCCTGAGTTTGTTGGATGTTCAAGTCACTGGGGCTCGACTGATGACCCAACTTTCCCGAGGCTATGGGCACCATCTCAGTGGAAGAGGCGCGACCCGCTCCGCGCGGAGAAGACCGTCGGCGACGCGCGACAACTCCGCGTGACAACCACGTGCGTGACAAGCATCGTGAGGAGATGTTCCTTGCGTGCTGCAATGATTGACAGAAACATGCAGAAACGACTGGTGACACTCTGGGAAGAGCAGATGAAGCACTGGTCATTTCTGGGTGTGAAGTCAAGGACTGCAGCCGACCATGTTCTGGAAGAGAACTTGGAGTTGTTCTTTTGTGTGGACTTTAGTTGCAGCAGCTAGTACTTCAGCAGTGAGCCCCGATCATGTTGCACAAGTGCACAAGACAAGTGGCCTAGCCTAGCCGTGCTGCATGCTCACACCCTAGAAAAAAATGGGCACCCAAATCCCTGCGCTTTGCCAGAGACACATAGTTTCTTCCAAAGCCCTCCCAAGAGTGCTCAGAGTAGAGGTTCAGAGCTGCCGGTCTCTAGATCAAGGTCAATGGTGAAGTTTGGCAGCACCTAGGGGCGCTCAGTGAACCCCATGGGTCACTGTTCTCAAGCGGTTGGCAGGTCTTAAGGGCAGTGAGCGTGGAGACCATGGTGGCAAGCAAGAATCCAGAGGCCAATGGGCGGAAGGCAGTTGTTAATTGAACAGCTCCCAAGAGATTGAGAGCCCGGTCACCCATCGCTCGGGCTTCATCTGCTTTTCAGTATTCCATTATGGTTCGAGCTCAAATTTGCCCAGATAGATAGAAGGGTCCAATCATTGGAAAGCCCGACATTGTATCCAAATCTGATCAAATCTGTAAGGACAGATTAGATCCTATTTGAGATGCCCTTCAGATCTCAGGCTGGTATACTTAAAGCCAGGGGACGGCATCTACAATGGTCCAATTCTTTGAGCCACTAAGGCATCCTCCAAAGTAGCGGGATCATTCTCCAACTCTCCGTAGAGGAAGTCTTTCCAAGTGGAGGCCTTTTGAATGGATGTTTTTTTCCAACTGCAGTGCTTTCAGAGTAGATGGTGCAACCCCCAAAAGGTGTTTTATATAGACCCCCATCCAAAAGACATTTTCGGGTGTGTGCCATCTACTCTGAAACCACTCTTCCCTGTGAGGCCCGAACTCCTTAGACGGGCCCACTCTCGACGCGTTGAGACCTGCCTGCAGGTGATGAGACGGGCGTGCGCATCTTCCAACGTCTTTGCCACCCTCTGAACGCTTAAAGCGGTAGAACAGTTTTCGCTCAGTGCGGATACAACTGAGGAGCCCCTTTTGGATCACATGTGTTCTTTTTGCAGCCACAGAATCCTTGATTGCTTGTTGCATCTTGTTGCCATGTTTTCGGGCTCGATTCTTCCTTGGAGAAGTGTAATCAGACTATATCAGACTCCCCAAAGTTTAGGCAGGAATTCGGAATGAGATCCTAAGCAAGTCATTTCTCCTTGTGGCCGTTGTCACGGTGGTTAATTTTCCCAACGTCTCTGGGCGCTCAGAGCGCGTTGAACCATCTCTGGCCCATTTTCAGGTCGTGGGAAGAGCTCCACTGACCCATTTTCAGGTCGTGGGAAGAGCTCCACTGACATGTAAAGATCAAAGCCAAAGACTTTCCAATCCCCCCTGGCTTCCAGCGCACTAAAGTGTCCCTGGAGCTGGCGTCACACTGCAGAGACCCCAGAATCCCTGGAAGGGCTGTAGGAGATGTTTTTGATAATAAATACAAGCATATATAGTTATGCCCTGCAATACTAACATGGAAGCAGAAAACCCATTGTTTGTGGAGGAAGCTAAGTCCTCCAAAGGTAATTCTGAAGGTTCCATGTTAATCTTCCCGGATTGAACACTTAGTTCTGAGAATTTTATACTGTACCTGCGTGTGCCTAAATCTGACACATCCACACCTTTGGACCCTCTCCAAATCCTGGGGTGTTGCAGTGTGGCTCCCAATCTGCTTGAAAGTCAATACCGAACTCGGTGCATTGCAAGAAAGTGGGTCTCAGCATCGCCGGTTGTTACCTGTCGGTGGACCAATCCGGTCTTTGCGTTCACGTTTGGCAGAGCAAGACACCTAAGACCGAGCCATGATTGCATCATTATATTGCACAACACATTGGCATCATGCACCCTTTCTATGTTCTCCGTGAGGCGTTTGACGTGCATATCGACGCAAGTCGACCCATAGGTCGAGTAAGGCTTGAAGGTGTGCTGACTACAGCAGAATGCCCCAGTGAGAGGACTTCTATTGTTTGGAACCAGCTGTGTGGCTCGGCACAAAGCCACACAACAACGCCAGGTTTCTATCATGGTCCTCTCTAACTGTTGTATTAAACTCGCGTTTAAGGCAGGGTGTTTTGATTATCATTTGCTTGCAGCCTTATGGTTCGAACACGCGGGAATCCAAACAAGTTATCATACATATATATAATAACATCATTGTATGTTTTAGATATCCCTCCGCACCCCAGTTCTGATTTCCTTGAAGGCTCATGTGCAACATCCAATGTGCTTTGTATGATTCCATGTCACCAACACATGCATTGAACCTCCCAAATTGGTACCTGCTTAGAGCTCCAACGGCGGCTCCGCCGGATGGACGTAGGATGACCGTGAATTCCACGGTCGAGTCTCCGTTGTTGGCCAACAGCCCCATTCGCTCCCTCGTGGCCCCTTCGCGCGAGTTGTCCGGCGAGGGGAAGAGCAACAGATCGACGAGATCGAATTTCACCCGTGAGTTTCAGTGGAACTCGAAGCGCTGCTCCGGTCGCTTCGACCCCGATCTTCAGACGGGTGATCGGTCCTGGGTTGGTGTCCCCGAAGCTCAACATGACCATTGGATGTGATGTTGGGTGGTTGCCGGTACGCTGACACTGTGGATGGACCCCTAAAAAGCATGGATTCTTTGATCACCCAAAGCAGAAAAGGCAACACAAAACACGCTGTGACTGAAAGTCACCAGACAGAGAAGTACTTCGAGAATTTGAAGATGCAAGACGTGTGTAAAGCTTCAAATTGATGATGTGCTCACCTTTTTTTGACTGAACTTCCAACATGTTTCAGTCAAGGCAATGATCTGCATGTGGCGGCCATGCAGGGCGACCGTTTGGAGGTGCAACGGCTTTTGGAGCTTCACCCCGAGTGGTGCCAGTCGCGCTTTACCTGCCAAGCATTGCTGTGCCTTGGGCGCATGGGGTGCTGGTGGAGGTTGGTGGGGTGGCTTGGGGTTGGTGGGGTGAGTGGGTTTGGGGAAGTCTTTTTAAAGCTTCGTGTGGAAGTTGGCAGGATCATAAGATGTACCAATGGGCCATAGACGGCCAAATCAAGTTCAAAAGTGATCTCTAAAGCTGCGCACTCCGTTGAAACTTCCGTCCAAATGACCTCAGGTCTCCGCGTTGCTTTGAAGGGCGACCGCACGTGGAGATGTCCGGGGAGGCAATTCATTTGGCAGCCTCCAGAGGTCATCTGGAGATTTTGAAGGATCTCTTGTCCCACAAAGCCTCCCTGCAAGCAGGTTGGGATGGACAGGAGTGAGATGGATGTTTGATGACAGAAACGTGGCGTGTTTCACAGAAAACGTGGGGTGTCAGGGACCGGATCAAGAACTGATCCGCGGATGCATGTGAACTTGCCGTGCCTTTGGCAGGTGCATACAAAGATGGTCGACCCTACTGTGAAGTGCTTCATGCTGCACTTCTTTGTCTTTCAGAGGACTTTGCAAGCACCAAGGCGACGGTGAACTTTCTTCTTGAGGAGGCTGAGATGACGTGCACTTCCACAGGAAGACATCCGCTACATCTTGCCGTGAACTCGGGCAAGCCCGAATTGATTTGCCTGGTAAGACATTGGATGAAGAAGAAAGGGATCACTGAAGAAGATCTTCCCACCTCGCATGAGGTCATCGAGGATTCGGTCAGAAAAACCTGCTTCCACATCGAGCGTCCGCTGACTGTAGCGATTCAAAGTGCCAAGATGAAGCTCAAGGACTTAGTTTTGTCGGCGGAACCATCTGCTTTTTCCTTGAAACTGGGCTGACATGTTGAGACCTATTCTGGTGGAGGCCATCGCTATTAGGTTGGAGGACATCACCACTAGGGTGGAGGCCATCGCTAGTAAACAGCAGCTTTGGAGAAACAAGGAGAAACACATCTTCAAAGCACACGACTGGGAGACCCTTAAGGAGGTTAACCCTGCAGCTGTATTGTTTATAGATATTTATAGCCTTTTCACGTGTTATTTACAACTTGTCAAGAAGTTGTAACATTTTAACGTCCAAGAAATCACTACATGTAATTGTTCTGGAACAACAGCTGAGACAGTCATTATTGTGAAACCTGACCTAGCTAGCCTGTATGGGAGTGGAATTGATGCGGATGCACAAGGGAGTCGAAACCAAGTGGCATTTGATCAGTGAACAGCCGCTGTATATATGGACTTTGTAGACTATAGTCTATCGTCCAATAGTTTGTCACTACAAACTATCAGATGAATACCTGCTGTCCATGTATGTGTTTTTCCTGGACTTCATTGGCACTTGCAGTGACTCGCTGGCTTTTGCCTGACTGAGGAAAATGTTTATGGCGGATTGCCCGGAGGCAGTGCCTTTGTTCCTGAAGCGAATGACCAGCCTGGGCAAGTTGGAAGGAATTTTGGTGGATTCTGAACTAAGCAGCTTGGATGTTGCCAATTTGATGAAGCAACTTGGACTGAACGATCCGGAACACATCGGTTTTCGATTGCTCGGCTCCAAAACCGCCAGACGATGCAGAAACCAAAACCCGGATCAATGTTCTTTCGCTTCCAAGAGCCAGACATTGAAGCATTGGGCTTCCCTGAGGATGGCTTTCCATGTCATTTCTTTTCCATCCATTTAGCTGTAGTTTAGATGCCCTGGGCGCCGAGATTTAGCCGTTTCCATCGATTTCCTGAGGCAATCAGAGCTGGCGGCTCTGAGCTTGTTGGATGCAGCCACTGTCCGGCCCCGGTGCCAGGATCCGCGCGACGAAAGCGTACCACAAAACAGCCACGAATTCCATACCACCCATCCCGTATATTATCTCACTCAGAGCGTCGAACTGCGCATGCATGCCTACCAAATGCATCCAAATACCGTGCGAGCGCCATGTCATGTCCTCATCAAAGGTGTATATCAATTGGGTTCCATCAATGGCGAGTTCATCACGTCATCACATGTCATGTCCTCACCAGGATTGGGAGATGTATCCCTTGCCTTCGACGGTGAGTTTCGCCTCACGCGACTGGGAGCAGCTCGTGTGGAATCTGTCGAATCGTGGCACTTTGGCCGTCGAGGCTTTCACCTTCTTGGAGCCCGAGGATCACTGGACCGCCGGTTCGAGGCAACGTTGGTCGTTGGGTCGAGGGTCACCGAGAAAACGTGTTTTTATATAGAATTCTTAGTGTGTTTTTTTTTTTTTGGGGGGGGGAGGGTTGGGGCAGTGGGCACAAAGCAGTTTGGTACGAAAGTTGATGGTAGAGAGTCTATATTTGCGATGTGTTGGAACACGATGTATACTAGTTTTTTCTTTCTGTCAAATCCGGGTTTCTTCAGGGACGAACATCTTGCGCCCTCAGGTGGCACGAGACGTTACTGGACACCCACTTCGGGCGGCCCATCCGGGATGCAGACATCCAAGTCTGTCAGATCCCTGTGCCACGGTGGAGCTGTACTTTTGCAGAATGTAATGATACTCATGGGTTGTAGTCCATGTAGATGGATAGCTAGAGGGAGAGAGAGAGAGAGAGAGAAAATACAAAAGCAAACCAAAAAGATGAATTTTTGATGACGCAATGATGAGATATTTTTAAATTGTTGGGCGTGCATAAGTTAGAGTTGTAATGCTGTTCTCGACCGGCTGGATGTGACATGTCTTGTGCTGACTGGAGAGCAACTTGTGTTGTTCCAAGAGTGCACAGATTGCGTCAAAGGATGGAGCAGAACTCCCCGTTTTGTTCCTTGGGGTTAAGTTTTGGATATCATGTTACTTATGTCCTGCTGTGATTTCTCAGGATCTAATCTCAACACAGCTCTTTCTCGTTCTCGCATCAGATGATATTGACCTTCAGACCTTCGACAACCGCCTCATCACCTTCATCGTGTTGCACGTGTTTGAACATCATGCTGGTAAAGTGGAGGCGGTCCGATGTGTAGTGAATGTGTGGATCTTGGCCTTGCTGAATCTACATACCTGGTCAATGCATCACAATGAGCTTCTACCTGGAATCATTTGGGTGGCTGTGAGATTTCTGGCCGCCCAGTCTGCAGTGGATATTCTTTGGGAGGCGATTCAAATTTATGGATACGCTGCCATCGGCCAACCTTGGGAGTACTGGAGCGTGGGAAATCTGCTGGACTTCTGTGCCGCCGTGGTGCCGACCTATTTGTGGCTGGATCCATCGAACCATCCCGTGCTGGCGACTCGCCCGCACGCGATGGAAGTAGGAGACAGGAAGCAGGTGCTGCTTCCTTACTGGAAGAGTTGGCCCCAAACAAGTGACCCCCCGAAAAAGGAGATTCACCTCTAAACGGAGGGTGCTAAGCATAGTATGCTTTCCCAATTTTGATCGAGAGAAGGAATTGGAAGGGGTGATGCTTTGATGATGGGCATTTCTTCGTCCATTGATACCAAGACTGCTGCTCATGCCCACGAATCCACCGATTACTCGCTTGACTGAGTCGAGTAGCGATCACAGGTGGTCACGATCTTCATCTACTGGGGACGGGTGTTGCACTTCGCCAGTTTCTGTGAGCCCATTGGCCGGGAGTTGCAACCCTTCACCAAGATCTTCCGTGGATTGGGACCAGTGCTCTTCGTGGCTGGGCTACCAGGAATGTTTAGAGAAGTTAGACTGCTTGAGAGGTTGGTAGCAGATGGAGACTCGATACAGGTACATCATCGGTACATCAACTTCACTGGATGGAATTCCATGTCGATGTGATTGCAGGAAAACGGCACGAATCGTATTTGCCTTCTTTATATTAATATATTTTAATATGCTTTCATTATCTAATATCATTCTATTATTTGAGCAACATTATCCAGAAATGCTGTATTACATGATCCAGTGCGGCATGTGATTCCGGTTGAGTCGATCCAAGACTTGGCAGGTCACAATGGTGGCCTTTGCTGCTTTCAGCCACGCCTTCTTCATCCTGCAGCCTGAATCGTTTAGCATTTCCATCTACGGAACCTTCGTCACATTGATGACAGCAGGCTTGCCAGAGGAGCCCAGTCCAAACTTGCTGGAATCAGGCCTTCTCTACATTGCTGTGACATTCTTCACTGTCTTCATCTTGAGCCTCGGTTCTACTTCTTCTTAAGTCTTTAGTCATGCAAAGCTATATAGGTTGTTTTGAGTGTTGCTTTGTTAGAGTTTGATGCCATAGTCCGTAGTTGTTGATTGGATGAATGAGAAGGCGGAAGTGTTCTCGCCATTTGCTCCCAGCCAGGAACATCTTTATTGGAGTGATTGGAGACGAGTACAGCCGCCTGAAAAGCCAGTCTTTCCTGGGTTTCCGACAGATCAGAGCCAAGATGTGTTTGGATTATATGCTCCGCAAGCAGTTCTTTCGCATTGACTGGTGCTCAAAGAGGATGAGCAAGATCGTTTTGTTGACTTTGATTCAATTTGGCTTGGTGATTCAACTATTCTCAACCTTCAACAATGGGCATCCCTACGAAAGCTTGGAAGGTGGGGAGAGATTTTCACCACGTGGACGGGATATATTTTCAACACGAGTCCGTATATTTTTCGCTGGAGACGACAGGTGGACACGACGTTACGACTTGGCGTGTTTATTTTGTGCCGTTCCTTTTTGTTACACAAAAAACAAGGCAATCGGTGGAGCAGCAAGAGTATAAAGATAGCATGAAACAAAGCAAAGGGTCGAAAACTGAAGATCGTTCTATGAGAAGCTCCCAAAATCGGGAGTGGAGGATTGACTGTTAGTCCTTCACCTATGCACGCAACTTGCATGTTTGCAAAGAGGCAGAGAGTGGATCCGGTGCTACGCTGCTAAGCGAAAATGACAGCCTGGCGATCGGGACCCCCCCGCAAGACATCATTGTCATAATAAGAAGGAAGAATAGATGGCATAATCTGGTCATAGTTATTGTTGGTCTACAATGTGTGTGTGTGAAAGGCTGGTGTTCCAAACCCCAAGGCAGCTGCCTGCATGCGTCATCTAGTTTCATCGTTTCTGCCTTATATTCAGGAACTCTTGAATAAACTGTTTCTTCTTTTTCCGGGAGTCGCAAAACTATTCGTTTAGCGCACTGAGACATTTTGCCTCATTCACTCCTGTTAGGTGTGGCTTATGTGATCATCCTGGGGGTGATGCATGCGGTCTTTTACAACTCACCAGGCTCGAACAAGTTCATTGCGCCACACACTCGCGCTACAGAATTGTTGGATCCGAACGTCAACTATTTTTGGTATTGCTGCCACTTGGCCTCTTTGTTCTTCTGACTAAATTGAGCAGGGTCCCAAGCCTAGCCTCATTTGTTTTGTCACGAAATGCAGTATTTCAAGAACCCTCAGGATTCGCTGTAAGGGTCACTGTCACTGGTTGATGTGCGGGTGGCTCATCAGTTTGCCCAGCCACATCCGCACGAGTCGGCTGACTGTGACTCAACGTTCGACTCTTTTGACTCTTTCGATTCGCACAGTGCAGTGAAGCGCAGCACATAGCGGTAAATTCGGCGAATCAAAAGGCAACATCAGGACCACACATTTGGACCGATTCGTCTTCTTCGACAATCAGGTCCTTTAACCATTCGTTTGTCTCATCGAAGCGTCTGGTCCTGCAGCTGGCACACTTGGCCAGCCAAAGAGAGAATAGCGCTGCAAAGTAGTTGCACAGCGCTTCCGGATATTCCTTAAGCTTGCCAGTCTTCCAGGCACCGTTCTCCGTCCAATGCTGGTAGCTTTCGGCAAGCTAATTATTCCAGCGGTCCTCCTAGCCCTGCTGCTTCCTCCTTGTCCACACCAGTGATGAGGAAGGTAGTAGGCTTGGGACTGCTCCAACACAAAAACACCAAACAATGACGGGTGTTCGAAAGGTTGAAGGAACATGTTGTGCAGTTGTAGTGGCGGGATTTGTGGCTGGTGCCACCCAGTGCCGCTCCACAGCTTTTGTTTAGAAATTGACTAAGGCGAGTCTGAGCGCGAAGTTGAGGACGGAGACCTAGAAGAAATCAGTTTCAGCATGTGACACGAATTCAAAGGTCGACCAGGGGGCACCCGAATCTCTGGGCACCTGACTTTTGTGCCTACACTCCTCTCGGGGTCTTCTTCAGACGACTCTGAGAGGACGCTTAGATACAGGAATTCAGGGCCGTTCAAGGCTTGAAGCTTTTCCCATGTCTTCCTTTTCACCTCTGCGGCCTGACCATTTAGCGACCAAAATTGGGAACTGGCTGTGGTCGTTCTTGGTAGAGAGGTGTACGTATACAAAAGGCAGTGAGTGAAACATAGGCTATAGAGGCAGCGTTTGGTACATTCACAAGGTCTACTAGTCTTTTATACAGAACCACATGGCCTGCGTATCAAGGGATCTCGTAGGCATCTTTCACAGGTTCACGGCGTGGACCCCCATAGAGCACATCCGCGACTACACGTCGGACTACACGAAGTACAATCACTTTGCCAATATTCATCGTCCAAAAAGAGAAACCTGTATGAAGTCAAGTAGCCCTAGCATGTTCCACCGGAACATGTTTTGTAGCTAGTAAGAGCTAATAGCTTAGTAGCTTAGTAGTAGAGGACATTAGGCCTTCCTTTGATCTGCAAGTCATTTTTCTGATTGATCCCAGTGACTTGGTTTTGGACACGACTCCTGAGGAGTACTTTAGAGGGCACGAGCCCCTCTGTTCCAAGACAGCAGTTTCCTAATAGCAAAAGGAACCTAATAGCAATGCCCCCCCCCCCCGCCTTAATAGCAATGGCCTCCCCCTCCAACCTACTAGCTTCTTGCTACTAGTAGTAATGCCAGGAGCTACTAGTAGCCATGGGTGCAGGGAGTACAGCTACGATGCCCCCGTGAACTTTTTGGGAACATTTCCATGTTCTGCTCCAACACCCTGGCTCGCGAGTTCGGGTATGGACGGGCCAGTGCAAGACATCCAGGCATGGCAGGGCGGGCAGCATGCGCAATTCGGAACCCAAACGGGTCAGTTGAGGACTTTGCTGAAAGAGCTCCGGCAGTTGAGATCCGGTGGAGTTGCTTGAAACGAAAAGATTTGGATCAGTGAATCCTGGGACCCTCCGCGCATGCACTTGACGAAGCAAGCCTACCGCTGTGAGGGTCCGATTCCGCGAGAAGGAATTGATTGGACAGACCCATACGGGTGGTTCAAAGCCTGGTAGTCAGTATACTTCGAAAAGAAGGGTCAACAAGGCTACCATCACGACTGTTCCCAGTTTTGGGGTTGACTCACACCCAAAGGGCTAAACATGCAGGTTCCAGCTTGACGAGATACCACCATATAGCACCTGTCCAGAATCTGTGCAGCCTGAACCGGCTTTTGTCGAAAGCTAAAGGGGCAGCTTCATTTCAATATCAAAAGTCAAAATTGAAGACTACTTTGCAATGGTTTTTTATTTGCTCTGAAGATGCGCACGGTTCTCATATTCTAATTTTTCATAGACACAACCCACACGCACACAAAACATTCAACATTTTTTTTGATCGTCAGAAATTGAATTTGGCATACGGACATATTGTGGGAATGCCATTCTTGTCCGGAAAAGAATCTCAAACAACAAAAAAAACAACCTGCTGAACTCCCTGCTGCACCCTGAAAAGCAAGCATTCAGCATTAAAGAACCTCCTAGTCCATCCATCTCACCATCTCGCACCCAACAAGAAGCTACGTTCGGGGCTCCTGGCATCGCTACTAGGAACAAGTGCATCGCTTCTAGTAACAAGTGCCTTACTAGTAGTGACAAGGTTCGCTACTAGGAACAAGGACGCATCTTTGACACACGCTGGAGGCCAAGATGTCTGCTCCGCCAGATCGCCAGGCCAAGATGTCTGCATCATTGACCTTGGCGCGCCTCTTGCGCAGAGGCAATATGCTGGTGGCCTCCTGGGAGGCGCGTCAACAGGTCGTGACATGTCGTGACCACATGGGCCAGTTTGAATGACAGTGACACTGAAATAGAGATACAATGACAATGACACAGTGTACAATGGATCTTCCGATGTTGGGGATTACGTTTTCAGTTTTCAGTTTGCATTTTCTCTTACCCTGCAGTGATGCAGCAGCGCTTGTTTGTTGACATTTGGATTGTTGTGCAAGAGTCAGCCAAAACGTCCTGGACATTCCTGAGGTGGGATTTCTCACAGCACACTAGGCTAGGGATCGAAGCCTCTTCCAGTGTGGGTCCCAGACATTAAGGCAAATGCACACATCAGTCTTGCTTTGGACACGGGTTCCAGGTAGATGATCCGTCATGCAGCAATTCCATCCAGACACTAGCCTCGTCATCGATAGTACCGTTATGAACCGCTACTGCACTCTTGATTTGATTGAAAAACATCGCAGACCCGCAACCAGCAACCAAGAGCGTTTCTTTTGCGTCTTTATTTACATCATTTGAGGTCCAGGTGTCCTTTCCATGCCAAGAGTTCCCTGGAGTCTCCTGTGGTCTATTCTCAGACTGGGCAGAGGGCTTCCAATTAGCTATCATCAAACAACCCCATAAAGTTTGCTATTGGGTTGGAGGTCATCGCTATTAGGTTGGAGGCGTAGGTTGGAGGCCATCGCTACTAGGTTGGAGGCCATCGTTATTAGTTTGGAGGCCATCGCTACTAGGTTGGAGGCCATCTCTGTTAGGCTGGAGGCCATTCCAATATAGTTATCATCAAACCACTCATGGCCACAGACGGTGTGATTCAGGCAGGGCATCCAAGGCCCTTCCGTGTCAGGGGAGCTCAGATTAGGTGCCCGACTTTGGGGAAAGCTTGGACGTGGAGGGGTGTGAATTGAAAGCGACGTGTGTGTGTGTGTGTGGGGGCTTTGATAATACAATCTAATGAACTACAGTACGATAAACTACGATTTCAATAGGATCAAGCTTTGAATACTATAGGATCCCTTCAGGTTCATGACAGTTGTCGAAGTCATCGCCTCAGAAGTCTTGTTCTGAGTAAGCAACTGTTTAGTGATGTTTAGGGGCTTTGCGTCGTAAGAGTTTCAGGAGTCGTTCACAAGCTCTTCTTCTCAGGACATCCAATGACGTATAAAAGTCAATCTACCTGGATACATCGTATTTTGACTATAGCCCGATCAATTTGGTCCAGCTTTACTCATCAATATGTTATTCAGGGGGGGGGTTGCAGACTATTCAGGAGATATGTTCACCTTGTTGACCTCGTGGGTGTTAAGGGTTTGGTGTTTAATCAGTTGAATCTGATGATTCCATTTCAGTCTTGACGGCCTCCACCCCGGTCCCACCGGTGGATTGCGGCTCTTTTTCAGTGAAGAAACCTAGGCTTTGTCTGCGGCCCTGGTACAATCCTTGCTGAGCAATTCGCTTCGAGAGGAGAGGACAGACGAAGTGTGTGAAGTGGACGCCGGACAGGGCCGGAGGCGGTCCGAGGGCCTATACCTCCCCCTTTGAACATCGGTGTCAACACCGACGCATCACCTCGCTCCTCGGTTTCTCGCTGGTTTCCACCAACCGCTGCACCGTCGGTCAGACGGGTAGACGGTGCAGTCCAGCTGTCCAGCCGCCCGCTGGGCCGCCGGGAACGTCAGGTTGATGCACCCTCGGCATTGTCAGAAGCTCAGCCTTTTGGATCCTTTTGGACACCAAGCTTTTCAAGTTCGGGGTTTTTGGGAGTAAATGGAATCTAGTTCAGTGTAATCGGCAAAACTGCACTGCAAACACAAGCAGCCCTATATATGATATGGAGATGCTTCCACACCAGATTATGCCAGTCAATACGCATCCATTAGCTTGTTTGCACATAGGAGCATGCCACACACCAACAATAGCTAAACCTGGTGGCCACAAACTGCCGTGCGAGAATCCACGATTGCAGATACAAGCCTCAAGAAAGGACTTGTCAGTTTCCTATCTTCTTGACTTGGAGCCGGCCCACAATGCCTGATATCGCGAAGTCCGATATTTCTCCCAACCTCGACCGGGACAAGATGTTTAACGAGCTGTGGTGGTTGAACTATTGCTTCTGTGAAGGTGTTGGCATCGGTGCAGTGGGAAATCCGTTCTTTGGTGGGGAGGCTGTCAACATTTGCCTCCACTCCAAATGTGCCTCGGCTGATTGGTGAATGCATTTCTTGTTTCTTTGGCCTTTGCTTGTTTCCTTCTTGTTCTCAAGAAACAATACGTCGCATGACCCACTTGCCTCACAATGAACAGGTGAGATGACGGACATTGGTGATCCCTTCTGCTCCAACATGCGTGTTTGCTTGTGCCTCACGGATCAGTGCTCCCTTCCACCAGCTCCTGGCTCACCCATTTGTGTTTGCTTCAACAAAAAGCTTGCGGGTGATGATGGTTGGAGTGGACAGCAACTCTTCGACTGGAGCACGAACTTTGGTGACACCTTCTGGCTCTACTACATCTTCTGCATGGGTCTGGGATTCTCTGCCCCTCAAGCCAATGGCCGTCCGTTCTTCGCTGTGCAGACCAAGGAGCTGTGCATCAAGGGTGGAACCAAGTTGGCCATGCCCATGGAAGGTGGCAAACTGTGCTCCGCGGTGAGCACTCGCCTGTGCTTCTGGGATCAATGCGCCATGCCGCCAGCTGAGGGGGCACCTATGTTTGTGTGCTTCAACTTGCTGAACCCCAAGTCCGGGGCAAAGCCATTGGCATACGGATCATAGAGTTCCAGCTAGAGTCCAAAGGGATCTCTAGTCAACGTTCGTGGGTTCCGGTACTTTTTGCACTGTTAGTTCTTGACTCTTGAGCTGCCAAAGTCGTACTCGTGCACCTTTGTGTCGGCGAACTTGTCAAATATTCTTGTCACCAGGGTTCTTGGCATGCCAAGATTCGTTTGGACATCCTTTCAGTTTGTTGTTCCTCGAGGAAAGCCGTACACCGTACACCACATGACTTTTGGTAGAGCCCTGCTGCCATTGCACTACGACGTACAACGACAGCATCAGAGTGAAATCTTCGCTTAGGGGAAAAAGAAAGTCCTTGCAAGCCTTGCAATTGTTCGTTGCTGACAATAGATTGTGCGTTCCTCCTTATTTCAGTTTACAGTGTTTTTGCTGTATACTTTTCTAAACAGGTTGACATACAAATCTCCCCCTGGTGGATTCGACTTTTGCGAGGGAGGGGCACTGCTTTGACCCCCTTGCTTTCTCCGTTTCGACCCTGCTTTGGAAGCATCAGGCTGGAAGCGCTGGTGGGCAAGGACCAAGTGTTGGTCCTAGTACTGGGCAAGACTTGACGGCCAGCAAGATCGAAGCGAGTGCGAAGAAAGAAAGAAGAAGAAAACAAGCTCATTACTAGGGCTACTAGGCTGCAACTGAGATTGACATCCCTTGACCTGTTACGTTCATTCCCTCCATTCACTGCAGTGACCGGATTGTTGCTCCGGTAAGCTGATTGGGAAGGTTCGATTCTAGAAGGATCTTTTTCGAAGCGAACAGATGCAAAAAGACTAAGAGATTCTCCAACAAAATATCTCTCAGCTCCTTTCGTTGGAATGGCAGCTCAGGGCCAAATGTGTTTGGAACTTCGACATGAAAGTCCCCGGCAAATTGCTGTGTTCTTTCTCTCATCAACAGGGAGACTCTTTAGCCGATTTGGTTTGACCTAGTTAGTTACTTTAATTTCCAAAGCATTCCAAACCATTCCAAGAACCAAGAGTATCCCTTTGATGAGTACCCTACAGGATAAACATGCTGTGTTATTATGCTTATCCTTTGTGTTCATATCAATTCAGCCTGGCGTGTCAAGTAGCCCGCTACTGCCCTCTACTGCCCTCTTCACAGATTGAAAAGTCTGAGAGGGTTATTTGCCTTTGATCCAGCCCGAAAGAAGGTCGCTCTGTGAGCCATGCACACCGACCCACTTGATGGCTTGAATGTGCCTTATTTGTACAAACATGTGTTCAATACATGCTATATGGGAACAAAGGAAAACCTTCAAGTTCACCAAGGGGTGCCTGAGAAGAGATGGAGGGTCCATCCTCATGAATCGTATGAAGGGTTCTTCCAGTGGTTACTGGCCCCTCACGAGTCACAAAAAAAATGCAGTTCCAAAATGTTTGGGCACGACGATCACATAAAGAAAGCGCATGATCCGCTGGATCTGACGTTTGCTCCATTAGAAGCTATTAGGTTGGAGGCCATCGCTAGTAGGTTGGACCAGGGTGACCAGGGATTTGCCTGAGCTACTCAGAGGTCCAGTCCCACGAGTCTGAGGCTTCAGAGCTACTTAGAGACATGGTGCAAAGCCTCAGCCTTCGCAGGGGTGTTGGAGGAAACTGCCTGAGTCATGGTGCCCTCGGGGTTTCCTTGGACACTGCTCTTGAGCATGTTTTTCGACGATGAATGCGATGAACTCCCCAGTTGAATTGTCTCACGTCTGACAAAGGACATGTCCAGAGAACGAACAAGCTTGCCCACAGGAAAGCATCCTTTACGGCTGTGGTGTGGGTAGCCTGTGGCCGTGCAACAACGGTCCAATATGGTCCACTGTGGTCCGAAGCATGATATGTTCCTGGTCTCCGCCAATGGAGCCTGCCAAGTGCTAAATGCACCCATTTTCATCCCATTTTGGGAAATCAACCAATCGAGCATCCGACCCTGTGAGTGCATGAGTGTGTTACAACATAATTAATGATTTTCTTTACATCCTTGAATCACCCAGTCTACAAGAAGCAAAAAACCACCTCCATGCCGCCCCTTAGGCCTCAGACCTGTCGGGCGGCCGCGCCTGCGCGCGCTGGTCCGCGGACACCGCACGGCAGGGCCCCTGCGAGGCCTGACGCACGCGGCGCGCGCGCGCGACACACGGAGGCGGTGAAAAGGTTTGGACCCTCAGGGAATTTCGGTTGAAACTTGTTGCAAGGGTAAGAGATTGAACAAGAACGAAGGGGGTAATACACTGCGAGAGAAAAGGACAAGTTGGAAAATGAGCTAAACATACCAAAACTCAGAGAGGTTTGCCTTTTTTTTCCGCATGTCAACCTCTTAAGCTCCAGGTCTCTTCGGTTCTTCCGACACGTTTTTCCAAGGCAGTGGAGGTGCGATCCGTCAAGCAAGGTCCGGGCACGGTGGCGGGTTCGAGACTGGCGGTTGGTGCAGGCCCCCAAGCTGGCAAAGTCCGGATCCGAAGCAGTTTCGATATCTGTGAATATCAGTGAATGCTTTGGATGTTGTTTACTGATGAATATGGGTATCAGATGGTATCAGTTGGTATCCGGGATGTCGGTTCAACACGTTGGAGTACCCATGTTGGACAATCATACCCATCACTGACTGCCAACGGATGCTTTGGACGCGTCACGTCATACACGTCCTGAAGGTAATGATCATTACCCCTGTGGCCTTTTTTGTGCGTTCTGGGTTGGTTTGACTCAACCAGTTGGCATAAAGAATTAGAATAGAATGGTTGACCAGGCGCAGATGGCCAGATGCTCCTGCTGTGTGCTGTGCTGCGGGAACCAGAGGCACGGCAGACTCAACTTGTATATAATATAATGTTGTTGTGTGTTTTTTTCCGATGTGAGCGTGTGTTAAAGGAGAGCCGCCCGATTGAGTGCTGGGTTGTAGGGCTGCATGTATCTATACAGCACCTGTTTCATTGTACTAAACAGTCATGTGAACTCTGCGGTCTACAAGGTGGACTTGTTTTGAGGGTTGCTGAGCCATTGGACAGGGTCATGAGGCCAAATTGTGCCCCATCATGAAATCGTTTGCGCATGCTTTGTCGAACAGCCTAGTGGGAATACAAGCATAAGCTTGCAGCTCTCACAAGAAGATTTGGAGCCTGTTGCTGGTTACTCACTCCCTGCACGCATTGATTTATTACGAGCAATTTCTCTCTGAGATTTGCTTGTTTGGAACTTACCCCTTGTTCTGTCCAGGAAAGAACTCGTCCAGATGGTTTGAATATGGGAAGAGTGCATCGCTTGAGAAGGGAAGTAGAGTCGAGTAATTGGAGTGAAGCCCATTGTTTGAAGGAATGCCCATGCTGAGACACCCATGGGCCGTTCTCTCTTTGCGATGGTTTCCCGAGGCGCACACGGGCCCTGTTCTTTTGCGGCAAGCCCTTGACTTGCGGCAACATATGGCCTGAAGCTCAAGACGAAAGAGCGAGCGAGCAAGGGAGAGACAGATTCGGGCTTTGGGAGCTTTCTAAAGCTTTCTCCACAATGGGCTCTGTGGAGAAGAGGAAGGTCAAGTTGCATGACGCCACCAAGAGCCTGAAGAATTTGGCCAAAGGAACATTTGAGGACTCTGAACAGGTGCAGAAGCATCAGCAGCTTGAGAGGATGTGAGGTAGACAGAGGCCTTTTTGAACGATGCAGATGAAAAGAAAAACATGTGTTGGAAAAGAGATGCAGCTGCTCAGACGTTGGGGCAAAGTGAAAGAGCCCGACACCATGCTGGATGTCAAACATATTTTGGCAGCGCCTGCTCTGAAGAGGAGGCAAGAACAGCCCTTCACCCACACTCTCAGCAAGATGCGATTGCAACATAAAGACAGCCATAGGCCAAGCTATGTGGATGGTGCTAAGAACCGTGTGCTTCTGCAAGTGTACGCTTCTACCTGGACAAGACAGCTGAAAGGCATTGGGTATATGTTTCTGGAAAAGAGAAAGGATGCTTGATCAATCTGGGCTAACCAAAGCCTTTGACAGGAAGAATGAGGACAATGCCGAAATAAGTTGTGTCAAGCAAACTCGAACCTGGTGTGACAAACCTTTGCAATCAACACAATGTCGACATCAACCCACAAACCAGCTTAGTCAAGGGCCATCTTTTTGTGGAATGAATTTGAAAAGTTCGTTTTGCAATTGCTGAAGATCGACCCCAACATGTTCAAATGGTGGAACCCGTGGAAATAGCGATGCCGACTTGAGCCTGGGCTAAACTCAAGCCCTTTGGAGGAAGAGAGTGTGATGACAGCGGACCAAACCCGATCTATGTGTTTTGCGATGTCATTATATATATACTATATTATATATATATTATATATATATTATACATATATATATATATCTATTTAATGTTTGTAGTGAAGAAGCGCCAACAACGTTGGTTGCTTTGAATAGGGATATTTCAAGATCACTTCTCATTTTGTGGTTGTTCAGCAATGTTTCAACAGTGATGACGAATAGTTGTCACATGGAGTACCTGTAGCCTGACCATGCCTCTCAGGACCAGGCCTTGGAAGCTTTCACTATCTTGGAGACAGAGATGATCGGGCCATCCAGGCTAAAAAGCAGTCTGCCACACTGTGTAATGGTCAAACAACCTCCACATTTGGCTTTGTCGGGAGAGTTTAGAATGATTTCATCACTAGACTCTCAAGCCACAAGTATGGGATTGGCGTGCTTGTACTCTATTGTGCATGAGGTTCAACACCGAAAAGAAGCCATAGAGTCATAGAGTAGATTAGCAGACACGTTCAAAAGATACTAGTAGTGTCGAACCAAGTCAGATTGAGGATGATTGAGGCATGTAAAAATGTATTCACCGTTCCATATCATTCCGTAAATATAGGAGTGCATCACTTCAACGTTGCACTTCGATGACAATAAACCTGGAGGTGTGAACTACCATGCTGGAGCCCCAGTGTTTGAGCCACAGCTAACTGCTGAATACTCTTGTCTTTTTCTTGGTGGCAATCAAGATGTGAACCATGCAAGTCCATCCATCATGGCCTTATTGGCTGCCTTTGTTCCTTTGATGTCCTCGCACATACCCATAAATATCCAGGACTTCTTTCCGGAACTGTTCGATCCTTATCAAACCTATTCTGAAGAAAGTCATGGCTTCCAAATGACCCCATCAAGACAGAGAATGCAAGCTGCATTGTTGTGAATGGTCGACAACTTCAGCTGTGAAGGGTCAAGTCATGTTGAGTCGATTGACCCGCTCGTCAGGTGGCCAGGAGCTGTTGCGATGGCACGCGGAGCTCTTTGACTCGGATGTCGGGAAACCTCCCGTTGGACAGTTCTTCAACCGAGTGGAACGAAGGGGCCGTTTAGACCAGGAGAGTTCCACTCAACTTCAGTGGTCTTCGACGCAATTAGGCTTGACTTATGGTGCAAATTGGACTTCTGGGTGTTGAACAAATTAACAACATGAGTCCTCAATCATTTCTTCAGTTTCCATGTTTGCTTTCCCAGCGGCAACTTTACAACAAACCAATAGTATATCAGATGTATGATACACAAGGGCTGGGGCATCAAAGCACTCATAGACAACTGAGACATGCCAAGTGAATTGGCTTTCCTGTTGTGACCTGGGTCAGACGTTGGCATGAACGGCCACCTGACCTGTTTGACATTGGAAGACACGCAAATGCAAAGACATACCTTTGGAGAAGGGACCCCACTAAGTGCAGATCCCCTTGTGGGAATGGGGCGGTAAATTGACCAGGTTTTTCTGGACAGTTGTAAATCAGCCCACCGGAATTGTTTGTGTGAACAGGCCAAGTGGTCAACCGCGGCCTGTACAGAAGTTCAAGCTCAGCGGCTGAGTTATGAACTTGCACAGTGTGTCCTATTAGGACATGCCACCCGCGGCAGGTGTTGTGTACTCGGCCTATGTCCAAGACAAGAATACCATCCGCTTTGGTGACCAAGCGAAAAGCGCGTCGATGAAGTGGGAGTAGTCCAAACACAGACAGCCTTGACCATGTTTCAAACGTTGTCGCGCTAAAAATAGAACTTTCGACAAGAGCAACTCCGAAGTGAAAAACATGCTTTGCTTTGCTGCCGTGGTCTTCGACTGTTTCTACTGCGGTATCACGTTGGAGTCACCGGGCAAACCCGTGCAATGTCCAATCGGGTGGACACCTCCCAAAGACTTCAAGGAAAAGGGACCATAGACATAGACCATCATAGACCCAAACCATCCCAAACCCATTCATTGGGGTCTTCCAGTACTCACCCAGTTTGGTGTTTTAAGATTAGGACAAGCTCAGTTAGAATAGAACAGGCACACATCTACACTCACAGACCCACACACGCCTGCATCGCGTGCGATGATCCATGGTGATTAGCTCTGTGCATTGCTTTAAGAACATATATATAAGGTTATATAGGAGCCCAAAAGCTGGAGACATTGACTTTATCTCACCTTCAGAGAAGCCATTTTGTTCTGATTGGGCGCTTGGCGTTTGGAATTCGGTTGATGTTCCTTAACGTATGTTTCGGGTCCTGCTCAACCTCAGGGAGCGCCGAGAGAAGTAGTTGAACACGCTGAGATGTTTCTTTCCCCGGACGGTTCACACCTCACACCAAGCGGACCTGTAGTAGAAGTTATATGTAAGAGTAGTAAATGGCATTTTTGCGCGGCCTGGTGACTTGTAGCAACTTCAGGTCACGCTGACCTTGCCTCAAGGTCGGATGCCGAATTGTTGAACGCGTTTCGACAAGAAGATGCGGTCATAACACGGTAGAGAACTCATGGTCAGTTGCACGTGTTTGATGGTGTTTGTTTGTCAAGACATGTATTTATATATATATATATATAATCTCGTGAAAAACAAAGCACACATTCCGCTCCGGGCACAAGGTTGCGAAACCTTGGATGCTGGGATCTACTGTGCATCCATGTCCGATCATGAGGATGTTGCGTTTTGCGTCTCACGAGCGGCGGAAACTGTTGCCTGACATGTCCTATTGCATGTGCTAATCCCTGAAATAATGTTGGAAGTGGAAAACCACCTGTTTGTAGAGCGAAATGGTCATCCAAAGGGCCTTTGACTTCCATGATGATTATGAATGATTATTTCAGGGTGTATCATGTTGTCCAGACAAGGAACCTTTGCCTCTCACCACTGGACTTCTTTGGCAACTAGAGCACATACGCAAGCATAAACAGGTTTTAATGGCTAGGCTGCTTGGCTGCCTTGGCTGTGGTATCGCCTCAGCTGGAAACCATGTGAACTCACATGGATAATCCATGTCTCCCATGTCTGCACTGTAGTTCCATTTCGCCCAAAACGTGAAACTGGATGTTTTGAAACGGATGTTGTGCATGTTCCAAGCCCCCAAAGAAACCTACTATAGTAACGCTTCAAACGGCTAGATCGCCCAAGTATCAATCGGAACCGGATTTGACCGTTGGTCAATAATATTGGTGAGGAATATTGGTGAAACCAATACCATTCCAATTGTTACGCTCGTAGCTTCTTGCTACTAGTAGCGATGCACTTGTTGCACTATTCCAATGATCAATTTATGTCTCACCAGGTCTACTCGGAATGCGAAGTTACGTGGCCTTCCCAGGAGTTCGGCGCCGTCATGGCGGTCGGACGGCATGGCCAGCAGCCGGTGGGAGGTCCAAGACGCGGTTCCGGTGGTTCCAGTGGATCTGAAGGGGCACGGGTGGCGAAGCACCTTCCAGCTGTCATAGAATTAGGTCTATGCATGAACCAACAATGAATCAAAACTCCCTAGTATATAGAATTGCCGCGTGAGACGGTGGTGAGAAGCATGAAGCATGTTTGACATGATCAGTCTTGATCGAGCTTGAAAAGAGAGCTAGTAACCTGTGGATAATCATCGACACATGGAAGTGGATGGCATGGTTTTGCTATATTTTGCTTTGTAACAGGGGGTTGTCCACTTCCATGTTTGTTGCAGGGTATGATGTACGTAAGGTTTGAACATTGGATCTCTTGATGGATCAAACTCACCTGCCCCCCCTTGTGCTGAGATTGTCGCAGCTGAGTGCGAGTCTCGGGAATGCGATGGCGTCGTGAATGTGATGCTGGCGTCGGGAATGGACATGCAATGGAACAACGGATTAGAGAAGCATGACCTTACCCTGCTCTGTTTCAAGCCATGGCACAAGCCTCTCCTTTTGCATCGGCCCCTCCCGAGGCTCGCGAGCTTCCAGCGCCCCAGCGAGGTCGCCCGCGTCTCAGTGCGACCGTGTCAGCCGGATGTCCGGGTGGAGGGTCGGTAGTGACAACGGTGGAACGAAACGAGTCTTCGGCAGAGATTGGCTGAGAAAGGAGTCCTTATGAGGCATGATACATCATAAGACATCATAATACCACCCAGTTCAACTCATTCTGCTTTATATATGTTATGTTTGGAATCTTCCTCAGAAGCTGGGGCAAAGATGTCATCTCACCAGTTTTTGCCAAGACCTTAAACATCTGCTAGGAGTCTGACCCACAGATCGTGCCCGTGGAGTACATTTGCACTTCTGGAAGCCTTTTTGGTCTCCGGTGGCCCGCACCTGTGCTTTGAGCGACTGAGCCAAGCTGTTTCAAACCTCCACAGAATTCTGATTCGATTGGTGCTGCAGTCTCGGCCAAGGGACTCCGAAATCCGCGAAACGCTGGCTGTCTACTAGTTACGAGTGCATGACTTGTGGTTCATGCTGTTCTTGGTCTTGGTAGAATTGTTCGTTAGTGCCCATTGGCTGAGGGTGAGACCTTTCTATCACAAGCTTGCCCGGCAAGGCATCGGACGCTGAAATAAGAGATGTGTAGGCTAGATGTGTTTTTTCTTCTTCGTGCAGTTGTTTCAAGAAAGTGTCCGCTGAAAAGAACGTCAGAAATGAGTAGCCGCCTTAAGATCCTTAAGATGCCTTAAGGAATTTGCTACGAGCCCCGTGCACTTGCTCATGTCAAGATACGACCATAATAAGATAAAAAGTCGTCTACAGGAAATTGCATGAAATAGCCACTGAATTAGATCAAAGGCCCTCGCTATTCGGTTGGAGGCCATTGCTATTAGATCCGAGGCCATCGGACCTGTCAAATAAACGAACACTAGGAACAAGAAATTGCTAGTAGCTCCTGGCATTACTACTAGGAACAAGAAGCTACTGGTAACAAAGGGCATCGCTACGAGGAGCAAGGACGCTACAAGTAGCTAAGGACATACTAGTAGTAGCAAGAAGCTACTAGTAGCAAGGTGCATCGCTACTAGGAGCAAGGATGCTACTAGTAGCTAAGGGCATCTAGAGCAAGAAGCTACTAGTAGCAAGGCGCATCGCTACTAGGAGCAAGGATGCTACTAGTAGCTAAAGTAGTAGCAAGAAGCTACTAGTAGCAAGGCGCATCGCTACTAGTAGCAAGGCGCATCGCTGCTGGGAGCAAGGACGCTACTAGTAGCTAAGGGCATTACTAGTAGTAGCAA